GACTTTTGGAAAAGCATTCCTCATGAAGCTGGTTGAGAGAATGACAAGAGTGTGCAAAGCTGTCATCAAGGCAAAGGGTGGCTACTTTGAAGAATCTAAAATATATAATGTTAGGTTACTACATGATTCCATATGTGTTATGTCATAGTTTTGATGTCTTCACTATTATTCTACAATGTAGAAAACAGTAAAAATAAAGAAAAACCCTTGAATGGGTAGGTGTGTTTAAACCTTTAACTGGTACTGTACATGTCAAAGTGTAGTCTAGGTGATATGGCTACAGCCTCTCATGTCCACACCGATGCTGAGATGATGGAGGCGCCAGAAAATGTAGCCAAACTTTAATGAGACTTTTAATTACATAAATAAAGTGCCTTCAGATATTCACACCCCTTGACTTTTTACACATTTTGTCTTGTTACAGCCTGAATTTAAAATGGATTAACTCAATTTTAAGGTAAGAAACTAACCAATAATCTGTAAATGAACTTTAATATAATAGCAAGCTAGCTAGGCTTACAGGTGAATGTAAGTTAGTTGGCTAGTTTGATGATTTGTTGCTAATTAGCGTGCTAGCTAGGTAGGTAGCTAGCTAGCTACTGGCAATACCAATAACCAGAGCCATATATTTAGTAATTTATGTTTTAATTTATTCCAATGCCTCGCAAAGAATGGCACCTATTGGTAGATTTGTTTTAAAATATAGCAGACATTGAATATCTATTTGTGCATGGTGAGGTTATTAATCACACTTTGGATGATGTATCAATACACCCAGTCACTACAAAGATACAGGCGTCCTTCCTAACTCAGTCCCGGAGAGTAAGGAAACCATTCAGGGATTTCACCATGAGACCAATGGTGACTTTAAAACACTTACAGAGTTTAATGGCTGTGATAGGAGAAAACTGACAATCTAGTTACTCCACAATACTAACCTAAATGACTGGGTGAAAAGGAAGCTTGTACAGAACAAAAATATTCCAAAAGATTTACATTTTTACATTTTAGTCATTTAGCAGACGCTCTTATCCAGAGCGACTTACAGGAGCAATTAGGGTTAAGTGCCTTGCTTAAGGGCACATCGACAGATTTGTATCCTGTTTGCAATAAGGCACTAATACAAAGAGTTATGTTTGGGGCAAATCCAACAGATCACTGATATTTTCAAACATGGTGGTGGTTGTATCATGTTATTGGTATGCTTGTCATCGGCAAGATCCAGGCAGTTTTTTAGGATAAAAAGAAATTGAATAGAGCTAAAAGCAGGCAAAATCCTAGAGGAAAACCTGGTTCAGTCTGCTTTTCAACAGACACTGGGAGACACATTCATCTTTCAGCAGGACAAAAACCTAAAACATAAGGCCAAATATACACTGGAGTTGCTTACCAAGACAACATTGAATGTGGCCTAGTTTCAGTTTTGACTTAAATCAGCTTGAAAATATATGGGAAGACTTGAAAATGTCTGTCTACCAATGATCACCAACCGACTTGACAGAGCTTGAAGAATTTTTTAAAGAATAATGTGCAAATGTTGTACAGTCCAGGTGTGCAAAGCTCTTAGAGACTTACTCAGAAAGACACAGCTGTAATCGCTGCCAAAGGTGATTCTAACATGTATTGACTCAGGGGTGTGAATACTTATGTAAATTATGTTACAGGTTTTGGTTTTTCTATTTCGAGGTAATACGTTAGCACGAAGGGCGCACCGATTGGTGTAACCTCATTAGTAAGTACACTACATAACCAAAAGTATGTGGACACCTGCTCGTCAAACATCTCATTCCAAAATCATGGGCATTAATATGGAGTTGGTCCCCCTTTTGCTGCTGTAACAGCCTCCACTCTTCTGGGAAGGCTTTCCACTAGACGTTGGAACAATGCTGTGGGGATTTGCTTCCATTCAGCCACAAGAGCATTAGTGAGGTCGGGCACTGATGTTGGGCGATTAGGCCTGGCTCGCAGTCAGCGTTCCAATTTATCCCAAAGGTGTTTGATGGGGTAGAGGTCAGGGCTCTGTGCAGGCTAGTCAAGTTCTTCCACACCGATCTCAACAAACCATTTCTGTATGGACCTCGCTTTGTGCACGGGGGCATTGTCATGCTGAAACAGGAAAGGGCCTTCCCCAAAATTTTGCCACAAACTTGGAAGCACAGAATCGTCTAGAATGTCATTGTATGCTGTAGCATTAAGATTTCCCTTCACTGGAACTAAGGGGCCTAGCCCGAACCATGAAAAACAGCCCCAGACCATTATTCCCCCTCCACCAATCTTTACAGTTGGCACTATGCATTGGGGCAGGTAGTGTTCTCCTGGCATCCGCCAAACCAAGATTCGTCCGTCGGACTGCCAGATGGTGAAGCGTGATTCATCACTCCAGAGAACGCGTTTCCACTGGTCCAGAGTCGAGAGTTACACCACTCCAGCCTACGCTTGGCATTGCGCATGGTGATCTTAGGCTTGTGTGCGGCTGCTCGGCCATGGAAACCAACTTCATGAAGCTCCCGACGAACAGTTCTTGTGCTGACGTCCTAGTGCTTGGCTGTCCCGTTCTGTGAGCTTGTGTGGCCTACCACTTCGCGGCTGAGCTGTTGTTGTTCCTAGACGTTTCCACTTCACAATAACAGCACTTACAGTTGACCGGGGGGGCAGGTCTAGCAGGGCAGATATTTGACGAACTAACTTGTTGGGAAGATGGCATCCTATGACTGTGCCACGTTGAAAGTCACTGAGCTCTTCAGTACAGGCCATTCTACTGCCAATGTTTGTCTATGGAGATTGCATGGCGGTGTGCTCGATTTTATACACCTGTCAGCAACGGGTGTGGCTGAAATAGCCGAATCCCCCAATTTGAAGGGGTGTCCACACATTTTTGTATAAATAGTGTATTTCATGTTCAATAAATGTGCAAAAATATCTAAAAACATGTTTTCACTTTGTCAATATGGGGTATTGTGTGTAGATGGGTGAATTTTGAATTCAGGCTGTAACACAACAAAATGTGGAATAAGTCAAGGGGTATGAATACTTTCTGAAGGCACTGTATAGGCTAAACGGCAGTCATGTTTGACAAATATAATGTAGGATAATTAACTAGACATCTAAAGGCTTGATTCTGTTGACATACTCAAAGCACGGTTCGTTCAGATCAAGTGGTCACAGCACACATCACCCACTTTGCAATTTGAGCAGAGGCATTCAGCATTATAAACTATGGTGCCTTCAGAAAGTATTCATATCCCTTGAATTATTAGTTACAGCCTGAATTCAAAATTGATTAAATATACACTACTGAAAAAAATAAAGGGAACACTAAAATAACACATCCTAGATCTGAATGAATGAAATAATCTTATTAAATACTTTTTTCTTTACATAGTTGAATGTGCTGACATCAAAATCACACAAACATTATCAATGGAAATCAAATTTATCAACCCATGGAGGTCTGGATTTGGAGTCACCCTCAAAATTAAAGTGGAAAACCACACTACAGGCTGATCCAACTTTGATGTAATGTCCTTAAAACAAGTCAAAATGAGGCTCAGTAGTGTGTGTGGCCTCCACGTGCCTGTATGACCTCCCTACAACGCCTGGGCATGCTCCTGATGAGGTGGCGGATGGTCTCCTGAGGGATATCCTCCCAGACCTGGACTAAAGCATCCGCCAACTCCTGGACAGTCTGTGGTGCAACGTGGTGTAGGTGGATGGAGCGAGACATGATGTCCCAGATGTGCTCAATTGGATTCAGGTCTGGGGAACGGGCGGTCCAGTCCATAGCATCAATGCCTTCCTCTTGCAGGAACTGCCGACACACTCCAGCCACATGAGGTCTAGCATTGTCTTGCATTAGGAGGAACCCAGGGCCAACCGCACCAGCATATGGTCTCACAAGGGGTCTGAGGATCTCATCTCGGTACCTAATGGCAGTCAGGCTACCTCTGGCGAGCACATGGAGGGCTGTGCGGCCCCCCAAAGAAATGCCACCCCACACCATGACTGACCCACCGCCAAACCGGTCATGCTGGAGGATGTTGCAGGCAGCAGAATGTTCTCCACGGCGTCTCCAGACTCTGTCACATGTGCTCAGTGTGAACCTGCTTTCATCTGTGAAGAGCACAGGGCGCCAGTGGCGAATTTGCCAATCTTGGTGTTCTCTGGCAAATGCCAAACGTCCTGCACGTTGTTGGGCTGTAATCACAACCCCCACCTGTGGACGTCGGGCCCTCATACCACCCTCATGGAGTCTGTTTCTGACCGTTTGAGCAGACACATGCATATTTTTGGCCTGCTGGAGGTCATTTTGCAGGGCTCTGGCAGTGCTGCTCCTGCTCCTCCTTGCACAAAGGCAGAGGTAGCAGTCCTGCTGCTGGGTTGTTGCCCTCCTACGGCCTCCTCCACGTCTCCTGATGTACTGGCCTGTCTCCTGGTAGCGCCTCCATGCTCTGGACACCGCTGACAGACACAGCAAACCTTCTTGCCACAGCTCGCATTGATGTGCCATCCTGGATGAGCTGCACTACCTGAGCCACTTGTGTGGGTTGTAGACTCCGTCTCATGCTACCACTAGAGTGAAAGCACCGCCAGCATTCAAAAGTGACCAAAACATCAGCCAGGAAGCATAGGAACTGAGAAGTGGTCAAAACCAGTCCTTTATTGGGGGTGTCTTGCTAATTGCCTATAATTTCCACCTGTTGTCCATTCCATTTGCACAACAGCATGTGACATTTGTCAATCAGTGTTGCTTCCTAAGTGGACAGTTTGATTTCACAGAAGTGTGATTGACTTGGAGTTACATTGTGTTGTTTAAGTGTTCCCTTTATTTTTTTGAGCAGTGTATATATTTTTTTCACCCATCTACCCCCCCCCCCCCCCCCCAAAATAAAAATGTCCTGCCCTTTACTCAGCAAGTGTGTTTTGCATTACCCAATTGTCTCTAGTTGTGGCCGAGGTCTGTCCTTAGAAATAAGCTGGCTTGATTATCTGCCAGCCAGCTCATGGGAACTCATCGGTCCCGAGGCGGCAGCGACAGCAGTCTTCTGCTCATCCCAGAGGTTGTTACAGGGCGGCAGAAGGGGGATAATGACGATGACTCGCTGGATGGATTGGACAGACAGGAGGACATTGCCCAGTTCCTTTATGTAGAGTTTACTGGCAGGGACAGTATTACCTGCCCAACGTGCCAAGGCACTGGCCGCATCCCCTCAGGTGAGACATTTGCTGTCTGGATGCCTGTCGGGCTGGGCATTGATTGCTGTACTACAGTGGTCACCAACCGGTCGATCTCCAAAGCATTCCTAGTCGATCACCAAAAATGTCTGAAAAACCCCCAAAGAAAAAGCCTTGCATTCCTATTTTTTTACATTTGTTTTGCGCTGATTCAACAGCCCTAGCGCCTGGAAGGCAAAGTGTTCCATATTGAACCATTTCATGTGTCTGTAGGTAGAACTCCGTCTACCCGGCAGGTCCAGAGAGCAAATCAAGTGCACCTATAGGCCTACCGCTGGCCAATCATATAGCTCAGATCACCATGTCTGCACAGTTTCCTCGAGCCATAGACTGTAAAAAGAAGCCTTGAATGCACAGCGAAGTTAATACTGTGAGATTTCAAAACGTTTAAAACCATAACTAGAGAGAGACTCAACGAGTTCAGAAAAGAGCTGCTAATTTTATGAGTAAGTTCGTGTTTAAGTTGTTATTCAGCACTGTCAACACTTTTATAAGCCATAAAATGTGTGTTCTCCCTACTTCCACTCACGCTACAACCAGCACTGCAGCTGCAATGAATGACTATAGCAAAGTGTTCCGATAAGCGGTTTATGTCTTTTTAATATCAAGGAGTATTTTACTTTCTCTGGTCATAGGAGTAACAACATGAATTGGTGCATGAGGCAGAAATAATGCAGTGCGACTTGAGTTTCACCATCAGCTGGAAGACTGTGTCCCCTTTTCTCAGCGGAGGGATGGTGAGTCGGGTGAGAGGCAGCCTCACCGCTGCTCCCTCCCTCCCCTCAGACTGACCATCAGATGCAGCCCATCAGTCCAGTAAAAAACAAATATATATACAGTACCAGTCAAACGTTTGGACACACCTACTCATTCAAGGGTTTTTCTTTATTTTTACTGTTTTCTACATTGTAGAAGAATAGTGAAGACATCAAAACTATGAAATAACACATATGGAATCATGTAGTAACCAAAAAAGTGTTAAACAAATCAAAATATATTTTAGATTCTTCAAAGTAGCCACCATTTGCCTTGATGACAGCTTTGAACACTCTTGGCAGTCTCTCAACCAGCTTCACTTGGAATGCTTTTCCAACAGTCTTGAAGGAGTTCCCACATATGCTGAGCACCTGTTGGCTACTTTCCCTTCACTCTGCGGTCCAACTCATCCCAAACCATCTCAATTGGGTTGAGGTCGGGTGATTGTGGAGGCAAAGGTCATCTGATGCAGCACTCCATCACTCTCCTTCTTGGTCAAATAGCACTTACACTGCCTGGAGGTGTGTTGGGTCATTGTCCTGTTGAAAAACAAATGATAGTCCCACTAAGCACAAACCAGATGTGATGGCGTATCGCTGCAGAATGCTGTGGTAGTGATGCTGGTTAAGTGTGCCTTGTATTCTATATAAATCACCAACAGTGTCACCAGCAAAGCACCCCCAAACATATGACTGGTACTGTACATGCCCATCAGTCCAGTATGATCACTCAGCTGTGGCTCACAAGTTCTACAACAAATTATCTATTACCGGTGTGATTGCTTATTTACCTACATTTTTTAAATGTAATTTCAAAAGGGTCTGAGAAGAACAACATTGGCAGAGCAATTCAAGCATAGCCAATAGCCAATAATGTATTAGGCTTGTAGCCTACTGCACAAACCTCATTGCTACAGAACTGTTGTTAATTGGTTAATGTTGCATACGTTTTTTAAGTCATGTTTTTAACAAATCTGACCGGTAGCTCTCGGCTTGCATTTTGACTCAAAGTGATCTTGACTCAGAAAAGGTTGATGACCACTGCTGTACTACATATCGGATGTGGTATTATGGTGTGTTGTGTTGAGGTCAAAACATTGTGTTCTCCCATTTGACTTATCTCTCTCCTGTGGTCATTGTCCTTCAGAGCAGGCAAATGAGCTGGTGGCTCTGGTTCCCTACAATGACCAGAGGCTCCGGCCCCAGAGAACGTAAGTTGTCCGTCCTGCAGCTACTCTACTGCTATGCCTTTTTCTGACCAGTTTATAACTGGATCGGTCACATATCTATCACATTCTGTAATTTTACGTTGCTACACAGTTTGTATTCTGGGCAACTGTGATTGTAAAAGTAAACAGGAAGTGCTATGTTTGACAGGGAACTGAATGTGGTCCTCTCGGCGGTGCTGTGTCTCCTGGCCTCCTCATTGGTGGTCTTCTTCCTCTTTCCCTGCTCTGTGGTGGTGGAGGACGATGGGATTACGCTCCATCACTGTGCAGTTTGACCACGTCAACACTAAGGTCCTCATGAATATGACAGTAGGTCAATAAATCGTGTTAAGACACACTCTGTTAGTTGGACTTGAGATGGTCATTTGACTCAAACTGTGCCTGTTGCTTATGGTGTGTTCTGCTGACTGTTCATTTTCCCTGGTTGTGTTTGTCAGAGCTCCTTGAACTTCAGCAACTCCAACTTCTTCACGGTGATGGTGGACAGTCTGCGCTGCCAGGTTCTCTATATGAAAACAGTTATAGGCACCATGCAGCTAGACAATGTAGTCACCATCCAGCCCCTGAGCCAGAGACCGGTAGGTGTACTGTACTGTACCAGGGGCCTGCTGTTGTCTCAGATGCAGTGAACCATCTCTGGAGTTAACACTTCGGGCACATTCACTCCACGTTACATTTAGTTGAATGATTGACATGCATACGTTTCTTGCTTTAACTCTACCCCTTGTTTGCATTTTCTGCCTAAACTTGAGTTGACTGTTGGTCTTTAAAAAAAAAATGTTTTACTACAGGTGAACTTCATAATTAGCGTTGAGATCAGTGGAAGCGCCTCCTATGTTTAGTAAGTTAAATACACCTGTAAAGGCCTGTCTTTTTTTACAGTTCCAAGTCCTGTAATTGTTAATATAGATTTCTATATGTGATTGTGAAGAGGTCCTAACCACCTTTTTCACCCTTCAGTGCTTTCTGCACCATGGCAAGCATCAAGGTTCACAATATTGTGGTTTTCATGCAGTAAGTATATCCTACCTCCTTATTGTGAAACCACATCACTTCCATCTCTACTTCTTGCAATTATGTCTTCATGCATTTACCCTCTCTGATATTGACTTATTTTCGATACAATTGTTAATCAGAATTATGTTCTTTGTTCCCAGGACATCTGTGAAAACCTCCTACATGGTGCGCACGACCCAGAATACCCTGGAAGCCTATCGCTACATTGACTGTGGTTCCAACTCCACGGTTCACCAGCCCCATGCCGACCGTGGCAGTAACTCTCCCTCCCCCACCCACTACAGTCACCACCAACCACAGTGGTGATGTTCAGGGCATGACTAATACAGCCTCCAGTAGCTTCAACAACCTTTTATTTTAGGAGTTAATTAGTTAACCTTGACTTGATCACAGTAACTGGTGTTACTACTGAATTATGACTCTGTATCCTGCTGTGCTAGTCGTTGCATTTGTAACATTGAGAGCATTCTATAACATTTCAGGAGTGTCCTTTAGCGTGGGTTTATGTGATTTAAGGGGCTTGGAATAGTAACAATGTATAAGGGGCGGCAGGTAGCTTAGTGGTTAAGAGCGTTGTGCCAGTAACCGAAAGGTCGCTGGTTCTAATCCCCGAGCCGACTAGGTGAAAAATCTGTCGATGTGCCCTTGAGCAAGGCACTTAACCCTAATTTCTCCTGTAAGTCGCTCTGGATAAGAGCGTCTGCTAAATGACTAAAAATGTAAAATGTATAAAGCGACTGCCATTGTATTGCGCAAGAAGGGAGATTTGTTCTTTGCTATTTATATAGGGAACTTGACAAGACTAGTTGAGGGATGTGCTTAAGGCAATTTATTGACTCCAATGCTTCCCACAGTTGTGTCTAGTTGGCTGGTTGTCCTTTGGGTGGTGGACCATTATTGATGCACACGGGAAACTGTTGAGTGTGAAAAACCCAGCAGGGTTGCAGTTCTTGACACAAACCGTTGCGCCTGGCACCTACTACCCTGTTCAAAGCCACTTAAATATTTTGTCTTGCCCATTCACCCTCTGAATGGGCAAGACAATGAATGGTCTGCTCACCACATGCCAATGAATGTGAGCTGGATTTGCAATGCTCTTACAATTAGGCTAAACTATGGAAGTCCAGAGAGGACAAATAAATAAATAAAAACCTCATTATGTCGAGATCACAACTTATTTATTTCATGATCACGACATGGGGAAAAAAGTTGTTTTATCGAGATCACGAGATAAACTCTATAAATAGGAGTGGACGCCTTGATGATAGATTGACTGTACGGCTGAGGCGGCAGAGCCAATGGTGGATCAGCGCATATGTTTTTATTGATTGCTACACTAAGGGATGGTACATTTCATGCTAACATCATGCTTTCATTTTTGTTTGGAGCTCATTATCAGTTTATAAGTTAGAATGTTAGCAAGCTAAATGTCCTTTACCTTGAGCTAAGCGCTCTTGGGGCATCTAAGCCATCATGGGTCATTTAATCCTGTCTCCCAGGCTGTATGCCACCCCCAAGACCACAGCCAATCACATGCAAGCAACAAAGCAGCTACAGTGCCTTCAGAAACGATTCATACTCCTTGACTTATTCCACATTTTGTTGGGTTACAGCCTGAATTTTCTCACCCATCTACACACAATACTCCCTTAATGACAAAGTGGAAACATGTTTAGAAACTTTTGCAAATGTTTTGAAAATGAAATACAGAAATATCTAATTTACATAAGTATTCACACCCCTTTACTATGAGCTCAGGTGCATCCAATTTCCTTTGATCATCCGTGAGATGTCACTACAACTTGATTGGAGTCCACCTGTGGCCAATTCAATTGTTTGGACATGATTTAGAACGAAACACAACTGTCTATATAAGGTCCCACAGTTGAAAGTGCATGTCAGAGCAGAAACTATACCATTAAGTCCAAGGAACTGTCTGTAGCTCTCCGAGATGTGATGCGGGAAGGGTATAAAACAATTTCTAGAGTGTTGAAAGTTTCCAAGACCAACAGGATAATGACCCCAAACATACAGCCAAAGCAGTGCTGGAATGGCTTCAGAATAAGAATGTGGAAGTCCTTGCGTTGCCCAGCCAAAGCCCAGACTTGAATCCCTTTGAAAATCTGTGGAAAGACTTGAAGATTGCTGTTCACCACCCTTCTAACTTAACAAAGCTTGAGAAAATCTGCAAGGAAGAATGAGAGAAAAAACCCAAATCTAGATGTGCAAAGCTGATGCAGAAATACCCAAAACGACTCAAAGCTGTAATCGCCGCCAAAGGTGCTTCAACAAAGTATTGACTCATGGTGTGAATACTTATATTAATTAGATTTCTGTATTTCAATTTCAATACATTTGCAAAAAATACAATTTAAAAACATGTTTTCACTTTGTCATTATGGGGTATTGTGTGTAGATGGGTGAAAGAAAAAAATATATTTAATCCATTTTGAATTCAGGCTGTAACACAACAAAACGTCAAGGGGTATGAATACTTTCTGAAGGCACTGTATGTGCACCAGTACAAGATTAAACTTAAAAAGTAAGATAAGATGGTAAAGGCAACGTTCATAAGGTAGTTTTATGTTTTTGGGATTGTTCATTTTACTGCCCTAAATGATGGGGGAAACTGCAAATGTTTTGGTTGAGCACGATTAGCTAGTAAATCCAACCCTTATGTCCAAGTACAGCGTTGTTGACAAGATTGTAATACTAAAAGCATAGTCTTGCCAAGTACATAGCACAGTATGATGTGTGGACTTCTGTCTGGAGGCCCAGCTTGGACACAACTCCGTAGTGGCTTGTTAAAGGGATCTTTGTAATGGCAACCGCTGTGGTATTAACCAGGTCAGGATAACTTCAATTACATTAACTCACTCACTGTCCTATTATGTTCAGCATCTTGCTAATGTTGTTTACATTCCAAAGCACAGCCTCTTGTTGTCATAGACCTACATAGAATAAGCTTACGAAACGGCTTGAAATTTAGTTTCAGAGTTGTATTTAGCTGGTTAGATCTTTTGGATTGAGTTTGAAGAGTGTTATTGTACTAAATGGCAATAGAGATGGCCTGAGTGCCAGTCTGTTTGTCATGCCAACTCCCTGACAATGACAGCAATGAGTTGACGAGCACAAAGATCTGGGACGAGGCTACAATGGAGAAAGGTAAAATTAAAACGGGTGATGTGCGATGTGAAAAAAAGTAATTTGAACGGAGCTTGATGGAATCATGCCTTTTAGATGTGATTTTTGAATAAATGTACTGTATATATTTTTCAAATGCAGAATTCTAAAATGGTGAAAATTAATTCAACTAATAAAGATAGTTATTTTTGTGACCTTTTGTGTGTCGCCTCTGTGTGTGACATCTTTGTTTTGAGGCCTGATTCTTGCTCTTGAAAAAGTACTTGTTTTTAAGCAAAATACATAAGGCTTTAAATTATTGAGTACAGTTTAGAAACCTAGTGATAATAAATCCAATGAGCAGAAGTCAGATTTGGTACCACAACTTTATTTTTATTTGTTTATTATATTCTTCATTTGTGCATACAAAGCTTTCTTAAAAAATAGCATATAACAGATTTTCTTACAAATTTTTCCTTTTGACCTCCCTTTCCTAGCTGCATGTGAGAAAATATATTACTACATATAAAGATCAATAAGAAAACAGACAACAATATATTACTGCTGTCATACAAAGTAGTGTCTTTCTATTTCTTACAAAAACAATGCAAAACACTAAGAATACAAATACATGAAGATTATTAATACAGGAGTGCTCTGTCTTTGGTTAAGTACGTAGGACCTTAGACAACTGTCTGCTTTGTGTGTTAACTTTCTACATAAAGTCATACAGGTAAAAATATATGTGGGCGTTGCACTGATACTGTGGCTTATTGTGACTTATTCTCGTCTTGTTTTTAATGTTTGAGTACATTTCTCAATGTTATACAGTATAATAAGGACTACTATTTGCCCCATAGTTTAGATAATTGACCCACCAAAAAATTGTGGAATAGAACAAAATGACTATTTGCAGCAATATTAGTGTGTACTGCTCTTCACAGAAAAAGCCATAGGTATAAATACAATATACAGTAGAGACGGCAGTGGTGCGGCACACCATTATTCCTTGGTTACTTCAAACTTTTCTTTCTAGGGTACAATTCATATGAACGTACATGTGAACAAAACATAACAATACCCCATAATCTCTAGTACTGACCATATCTGTGCCCTAGCCTCTACACACACTGATACCCTAACCACATACACTCTCTCCCTTGCACATTACAAATAGAAATTTCTCACATTCACTTTTACTTTCTACTGTAGCCTACTGTGGGACTACATCATCTTCTACATTTTGGTTTGACTTACACTTATGATTGTCAAAGAACACTGGGGAGAGTGACAGGGTTGAGGCAAGATTTATGTGTAATTAAGTATAATCTTTGGTAGGCCTGCGGGTGGGCTAGGCTGCTTATTGCATACCTGAAACCTTAGATGACTAATAAGTGATGACAAGGCTTTGGTATCTTTAAGGCAATATGAAATTAAAGGCCCAGTGCAGGCAAAAACTAGATTTTCCTGTGTTTTATATATATTTCCACACAGGTTGGAATAATACTGTGAAAATTTAGAAAATGCCCTTTTAGTGTAAGAGCTGTTTGAAAAGACCGCCTGAAATGTCAGCCTGTTTTGGTGGGATCGAGTTTTGGCCTGCCTGGTGACATCACAAGGCGGTAAATTAGTTAATAGACAAATAAGAAAGAGAGTTCCAAACCTCTGCCAATAACAGCTAGTTTTTAAGTTTTCCCCTCCCCACTCAGACAACTCCCAGACAGTTCTAGCAAAATTCTTGCTTGAGAAATTGCTCTTAGCTAAGAATACATTTTTGTTTATTTTTGACCATTTTAATTGAAAACAATTACAGTAAGGTACTTAATTGTTACCCAGAAACGATTTGATATTGAGATAAAAACGGCTGCATTGGACCTTTTATAAGGCATTTTTACACATTAGAAATTTAAACAACAAATACATTTTGACTATAATTCAAAATGGCAGTCATGTTTGAAATGTTGAGCCTTTGGGGTCCAAAACTCACTTTGAGAAGAGGCCACCACCAATGGTGCTTTGTGGGTCTGTAAAGCATTAGTTTCTGAAGCCTCCTCTCTGGGAGTTGTAACACTGTTGACAGTGTAAAATCGGTGATGGGTCCTTGGCTTTGTTCTCTATCTGCGCTGCGGCCCTAACATCACCTTGTTGATGAAGTTAACAATGGCTGAGGCTGGCTGCTCTGGGTCGAGCTCAGCAAACAGATGACACACGTTTTCTGCCATGCTGCCTGGCTTTTTGGCTACAAACCCAAACACCCTATTGAACAGAAGGAGAGGGAGAGAGGAAATAGATATTAGAGGGTTGGAAATACACACCTAGGGCTAGATTCAAACCTGACTGCGGAAGATCCACATTATAACGCAATTGACATTTAAAGACAATGTTCCTGCGTTTGCGGAGACTGCATTCATGGTAAACGCTGCATTTGTCGGCGCAATCGGAAATTACCCTTAAATGTCAATCGCGCTATAACGCAGATCTTCCGCGGTCCGGATTGAATCAAGCCCCTACTTAGACATATTGATGCCCATTCTTGCTGGTTAAATATTATGACTGAGACTTCTTTGATCAAAGGCTCAATTCAATCAGATCCGTTTTGGCGGTTGTTTTGGCTATGTCAGTGGTGGAACTGTGTTAGAGCTGTCAAATCCATAAGTGGCTCCCGGCTTTATATCTAAAGCGGACATTGCCATTGGCTGCACAGAGTCGCATTAAGAGAAATTCCATGCAGCCATGTTTACAAGTTTGAACACTGGAATGTGAGATGTAATCTACACCTCGATTAGGATGATAGCAATCCTCATTATTTAGTTGAATGATTTTTCAATTTCAGTGGAATTACTTCTATATAGCCTACACTTTCTCATTCTGAACTTCTAATACGAGTTAAGCGGAGCAGCTGCTCCAAAGCAGCTCCACCTCCGAAAACCGCCAAAACATCCATGTCTGCTATCGCCGGTTAATGCTTGATCTGATTGAATCTAGGCCTAACTCTTTAGACGGGAACAGGCTGACTAATGTATGGGCCAGGTAACCAAACAAAGTTACCGTAGTAGAAGGTAGAACCTAGAAGGATAATATTAGCCTCATCTGACCATTCTGATCTCGCGAGCTTACATGATGTTCCGCTACTCGGATTCAGTGAAGTGTGCAGCGGTCAGGATGGTGGATCAGGCTATGATAATATCTCCTAAGCTAAAATACGATAAAAATAAATAATAATCAAACCACACACATTTACATAAAGCCTATGAACTGGCATAAAACAGAAGCTGTGAGCATGAATATTTGTGAACATGAATTTGTGACCGTGAGCATGATCAACAGATCCTGTATTTACTGGGATGATGGCCAAGGCACAAAAGCAATATGATGCCATGCAGGTAATCAAACATCTTGTCACACCGATCAATACACATACAAACACATCACACTCCCAAACAAACTCATGTACACAAACACACATAGAGCACTTACTTCGATGTTGTGCTGTTTGTGTTAGTCCACCTGAAGCAAAGAGAAAGACAGACCAGACTCAGACCCACACTGACAGACAGAGCTCTCAAACAAGCACAGGCATGGGTACAGGTGCAGTCACAGCCACGGCCTGCATTGCCCAGGCATACACATAACACATTCTCTCTCCATCTCTCTCACACAAACACACACTCAGAAACACTTAATTCAAGCTCACACACACAGATCCATGCGCAGGTTTACAGCAAAGGATGAATTCAATATGGTGAAGACAGAATGGGAATGGCTCAATGGTTTCTCTTTTTAGATGGTTAGCTGAGATGGTTTATAAATAGTGTGGTCTTCATGTAATTCATCTTATACGTCATGGTTGACTGTGACATTAGATTGGTTTGTGTCAGTGTGCTACTCCAGTGCCCACCTCCTGTCCTGGGGGTCGATACTGCTGAAGGTCACACTGTTGACTGGGTAGTGTCTCCTGAAGAACACCCTATAGACAAACCGACAGAAAGACCATTTAGTGTGACCATTGATATCACAATCATCTCCACTAATCTACCACAATACATCCATACCACCTTTCTTCCAGTTTTGTTTGCTGATCACTAACGACTTACATGGGTGACATTTAGACCATATGATCTGGTCAGTGGTAATGTTACCTGCGCTGGCTGTCGGTCAGTGTGATGCCCTGTGAAGACACTTTAAAGTGGACCACTGTGGCCACTGGCTGGGGGTTTCGTGCCAGTGTGGCTCCGGTTGCCTTGGAGATGGCCTGGGGTCCGGTCAGTGACTCAGTCTCCACAGAATTCAGGTAGAGCACGTTGCAGGCTGGACGGGAGGGGAGAGGGGTGGGACAGGGAACAGTCAGAACAATCAGGAAGGGAACTGTGAGAATGGTTTATTTTCAAATTCGACATTACATAGTACTGTATCAATAGCAGCTAATGCATTATGCATCACATAGGAATTATATCAGCTCACATCACAGTGATGAATTACTTACAGTGTGTTTTGTTGAGTATTATCTTTTTTGCATTGGTATCAGAACAGTTCAGTTCCACACGGAAAGTTAGTATTGTGGCGTCCCAACCACTGAGGTATAGTCCCGAATCCTCCGGCAGGGCTAAACGAGCGCACCTCTGGTACAAATAAACACTCCTCCTTTAGTGATTGGTCAGATTTCCCTTTGGAGAATTTCCATTGGTCCTCCGGGCTCTGGGGCGGTATTTGGTTAGTAACTAGTTCCGGGTGAACTGATCATCGAGGTGGAAGGGTTGTCACTAGTTACCGCAGCCAGAAAGTCAAAAATGCCATTAATCTTAAACATTGATGAAGAAAATAAGCTTTTTAGTCTTAATTTAAGGTTACGCATAATGTTAGCAGCGTGGTTAGAGTTAAGAGTAAGGTTTCAAATCAGATTTTAAGAAGAGCGATTGTAAAAATAGGAGGGGTTTAGCCATAATTATGACATTGTGGCTTCGGTAACTAGTGACGACCAGGTGGAAGAGCAAAGTCTGAACCGAGAAGTTTATAGTCTAATAATAGACCCTACAACAGCCCTTTCTGTCCGCGGACAGACTACTGGACACTAGTTAACGTACCAGACAGAGCTATAGGTATGGCGGCGGGGGAAGCACGAAAAGTCATCATCTACGGCGGGAAAGGAGCGCTAGGAGCCACTTGTGTACAATACTTCAAGTCTAAAAACTGGGTGAGAATTGACAGACAGACAACTGTTCTGTGTAAAGCTACAATGAACGGTATTAGCTTAAACAACTTCAGGTACATTAACAGCATGGAAATATAACGGATGCCGACTGTCAGACTTCTAATGTTATTATTATGGTAGCTCTTGTGAGGTGTAACATTCACTGGGAACAAACGGAACCAAACAAAAGCAAACGGATAGGAATTTGTCCAATTGAAACCCTCGTTTTCGTTGCCAAACGTTTTGCAACGGGTTGCTAATGTGTGCGCACTAATGATACACCCCTAAAACGAGAGTTTCTATTGGACAAATTCAGGTAGGTCGCGCCCCGTTTCGTTCTGTTTGCTTCCGTTTAAGAAACGTTTTGAAACAGAATCGTCGGAATGAATACACCCCAGGTATAACTGGGCCGTTAAGGTGTAACGTTAGTGCCACCAGGCGTAGAATTAGGAACTGTCTTAACTGGCCAGGTACCCCTCGCTAAAGAGCTCTCTAACCTCAAGGATCTTTTAACCGAACTAAGGTTAAATAAATAGAATATGACAAGCTGAAGCCACACTCAAATTGCAGCCCTGCCTACAGTACTGTGTGTGTGTGTGTTTCCAGTGGGTGGCGTGTATTGACATCAATGCCAATGAGGAGGCGAGCGCCAACATCCTAGTCAAACCAACAGACTCCTTTACTGACCAGGCAGAACAGGTGAGTCCCTCCCCGCTCCTCCTCTCCTTGTCTCGTCTCTTTCCCTCAGCTATTTCCTTCAACACCACGGAGGGAAGGGAAGGAGATGCACGCATGACTGTAAGTGGCATTGGATAAAAGCGTCTGCTAAATGGCATATTATTATTATGAGGGAAGGAGACTAAGGGAGAAGACGAGGACATTAAGCCGCGTTGCGTCTGTGTTAGGTACTGTATGTATGGCCATGTTGATATATGTATGCCCATGTTGATCATGGAGTGTGTGCTCATCCAGAAGCGGCGCTCATAGTGGCCGGGGATCCGTTTTACCTCATTTCTACCAGCATGTCACATGTGCAACCAGAGGGAAAAAAACTAGACCACCTTTACTCCACACACAGAGAAGTATAAAAAGCTCTCCCTCGCCCTCCATTTGGCAAATCTGACCATAATTCTATCCTTCTGCTTACAAGCAAAAACTAAAGCAGGACGTACCAGTGACTTGCTCAATACTGTAGTGGAGAGGTTTGAGAGTTTCAAGTTCCTTGGTGTCCACATCACCAACAAACTATCATGGTCCAAACACACCAAGACAGTCGTGAAGAGGGCACGACAACACCTTTTCCCCCTCAGGAGACTGAAAACATTTGGCATGGGTCCCCAGATCCTCAAAGTTCTGCAGCTGCACCATCAAGAGCATCCTGACCGGTTGCATCACCGCCTGGTATGGCAACTGCTCGGCATCTGACCGTAAGGCGCTACAGAGAGTAGTGCGTACGGCCCAGTACATCACTGGGGCCAAGCTTCCTGCCATCCAGGACCTATATACAAGGCGGTGTCAGAGGAAAGGCCAAAAAATTGTCAAAGACTCCAGTCACCTAAGTCATAGACTGTTCTCTCTGCTACCGCACGGCAAGCGGTACCAGAGCGCCAAGTCTAGGACCAAAAGGCTCCTTAACAGCTTCTACCCCCAAGCCTTAAGACTGCTGAACAATTTAATAAAATGGCCACCCGGACTATTTACATTGACACCCTCCTCCTCCATTTGTTTTTACACTGCTGCTATCCGCTGTCTATTATCTATGTATAGTCACTTTACCCCTACCTATATGTAAAAATTACCTTGACTAACCCGTACCCCCGCACATTGACTCGGTACCGGTACCCCCTGTATATAGCCTCATTATTGTTATTTTGTTACTTTTTATTATTTTTTACTTTAGTTTATTTTGTAAATATTTTCTTAACTCTTTCTTGAACTGCATTGTTGGTTAAGGGCTTGTAAGCATTTCACAGTAAGGTCTACACCTGTTGTATTTGGCGCATGTGACAAATAAAAGTTTGATTTGTGTGTGTGTTGTTGCCTAGGTGACAGCAGATGTGTTGTCATTGCTAGGCGACCAGAAGGTGGATGCCATCCTGTGTGTGGCGGGAGGATGGGCCGGGGGCAGCGCCAAGGCTAAAGGTCTGTGCTCAACACAGACAGACACGGACACACACACAACCACTGATCTCTCTTTCCCTCTCTTCAGCCCTCTTATAAGACAATGATCTGGTGTGTGTTTGTGTGTGTGTAGCGGTATATAAGAACAGTGATCTGATGTGGAAGCAGAGTGTGTGGACGTCGACCATTTCCAGTCACCTAGCAACCAGACACCTGAGAGAAGGGGGGCTGCTCACACTGTCTGGAGCCCAGGCTGCCCTGTCCGGAACCCCAGGTACACACACACACACACACACACACACACACACACACACATACATACATACTTTTATGATTGGCATCCATTAAGAATGTGAGCAGTAGATTCCATATATTGTTATCTCCCTCTGCGTGTGTGTGTAGGTATGTTGGGTTATGGTATGGCGAAGGCAGCGGTACACCAGCTGTGTCAGTCTCTAGCGGGAACCAACAGTGGCCTCCCCCCACAAGCTGCTGCTGTCACTATACTACCGTAAGTCGCACACACACCATACACGCACGCGCCCACAGACGAACAGGCACACACCCACACATTCACACCAGTCTGTAATCATCTTTCTCGCTCTCTGTCAGCATTACCTTGGATACGCCTATGAACAGGAAGTTCATGCCCGACGCTGATGTCACTTCATGGACACCGCTGGAATACGTGGCAGAGTGAGTGTTTGTGATTGTGTGTGACAGTGCTGTCCATACACACACACACAAAATATAATATAATGATGTAATATACAGTATTTAGCTATGCCGGCTTACATTTCCATATGGGTGATCTCAGCAGGAATCGAACTCACAACCCTGATGCTGCAAGAGCCATGCTGTAAGAGTTTCCTTTTCCAGGTCCAGGGGACCTAGCACTACACACCTGATTCCACTAATCAATTTATCATCAAACCTTTGAATAGTGGAATCAGATGTGTGCAGTGCTAGGGCAAAAACTAAAATGTGCACCCCATTGGATCCCTAGCACCAGGATGAAGAAACACTGCTTTAACACAGTACTGTGATATAATAACGTGTTGTGATTCAGTGCTGTCTGATGTGTTCTAGAATGTTCTACTGTGTTGTGTTCTAGAATGTTCTATTCTGTGTGTTCCAGAATGTTCTATGGCTGGTTGACAGGAGAGAACCGACCGGCCTCTGGAACTCTGCTGCAGCTGGTGACATCACAGGGCCAGACACAGGCCACACCCCTGTAGAGGCGCACTCTTCCACAATCATCTGCTCAAGTCCTGAAATTACCATAACACTACCTAATACTGGGCGCGTTCAAGCAGATCAATTTTGTCTAGTCGGTCACTGCCTTTCAAAGTGTGTTGCATTATGGGGATAAAAATAGTCCGACGTGCCTAGACATCGATTGCATGAACTTTACAAAGGTCATGCAGTTTTTGATTTAGTCGCTACAGGTACTTCTCACCAACTGCACCATGCAGCCATCACCTGCATTGTGGGAGGCATTATTTGTGCTTCTACATCTGCATTGCTTGCTGTTTAGGGTTTTAGGCTGGGTTTCTGTATAAGCACTTTGTGACATCTGCTGATGTAAAAAGGGCTTTATAAATTTGAGTTAACTAATCATTAGGGTGTTTTTGGTTGATCCGAGGGTCACCCGAGGGAATGTGACCAAAGACGTGACTGAAACAGGAACCACCTTTGCCATGATTCTAAAGCTACATGGAATAAAAATAAGTGATATTTAAGATCTCTGTCTAACAAAATGTTGTTTTCAGTTTGTGAGTGTGTGATATGGGGGTATATAAAAGTTTTTCAACATTTAAAAAAGAAAAACTTTTATAAACAATAACAGCTATGTTGACACTGCCATGTTGATCTGAGCCTTGCTGCTGGAAAAACACCAGTGTCCCAACTTTTGTCTGTCGCAGATGCACCTCCCCCGCCTTCACTCGCCGACTTTCGGCTTTGTTAGCCTACTCAAACACCCTCTGTTTGTGTGTGTGTCAGTGATGGGCAGGCAGTGCCTACTCTGTAATGATAATCTAATCAAAATAGCTGTTATGAAAGTCAAATTGAAAAACTATAATATTAACATTTTCAAATATTTGTTTATCTAATATTTTTTTTCTCAATGATTCTGATGTTTTTTATGCTCAAATCCCAAAATGTTCTAAAACTGCATCAAAACCTCGAGAGGCGCCAGGGTATAATAATAAATAATAATATGCCATTTAGCAGACGCTTTTATCCAAAGCGACTTACAGTCATGCGTGCATACATTTTTTGTGTATGGGTGGTCCCGGGGATCGAACCCACTACCTTGGCGTTACAAGCGCCGTGCTCTACCAGTGCCTTCCTTCCTCTTAATTGAAATGCACTCCAGCCACTGTTGATGGACAGGTCAGGCATAGGGCTTTGGTGCCTTCTCTAAGATGCTAGCATTCATTTCATTGAGCGGATATCATAGTTTGCACATGCGTATTGCCTTAACATTTTTTATGGATAAACAGTGCTTATTTGGGGTGTCTACATAGTTTGGTGCTGGCATCCCCTGAGTGTCAGCTCACGTTAACGAAGCTAGCTAGCTAGCAAAAACAATAACCTGACAAAATTGATATTATGCACCTCAAACAATTTTCCATTCATCCAGGAGGATAGATGAATGGATTTAATTTACAAGTGGAGGTAGGCCTAAAGGCATTTTCCTTAGCAATTGGCAGGTCACTGTTGAATGAATGAGAAAAACTGGTACATTATACAAATGTATAAAACATGTGACTTGCTCCATCATTATCAGTTGCATGGACTACGACATATTTTACGCCCTATATACTGTAGAAAATATAAGATTTCTTATATTATAAAGCACCATGGTGTTCATATGTCACACACCACAGGGTCTCAAACCAACAACAGCAGTAATGCAGCCATTTGTGATTGAACATTATGACAACTGACTAAGCTAGGGAACTCACCTGCACCCTGTTTGAGCAGGTCTGCAGCAGTGCTGATGTTACTGGCAGTCGACTGCAGTGCCTGCATTTCTCCAATGGGATCTGCAACACAGGGATGTAAAAATGAGTTATTTTAATCAATATCTATACTCTGTCTCCATCTGGAGGACATTGCTAGAAATATTTCAACCTCGCCAGAAGTCAGTAATTCTATGCATTTTGTATCAGTGAAAAGTGCTACAAACATATCATGTCTATGTACTATTATGAGCACAAATTGTCTAGGGATTAGATTGTGAGTGTACTTAGCATCAGTGTTTATAAAACAGCTTATGTTTACTTAGGTGGGGACTGGTTCCCATTAAAATGACTCCAGCAGGCTAACTAATAATAGCCCATAATGTGAGTGACAGCAGACCTTTTTCTGGGATCCGTAGGGAACAGGGTAGGGAAATGGGGGTGATGGAGTGCTGGTACACCAATGCAGACAAACTCCCTGTGGAACAGAGACATTTAGGGCTCTATTCAATCAGTAACGCTGAATTGTTACGCGATAGAAATGGAAAGGTAATTTTCAAATGATCCGACATATGCAGCGTTTACTGTGAATGCAGTGTCTGCTAATGCGGGAACATTGCCTTAACATTTAAATATCGCTGTAAAGCTGAACTTCCGCGATACAGATTGAATAGAGCCCTTAGACTAAATTATCCATTGGGCACAACAACCATGGAACATAATATAGCTGTAAATGACTGAATGCCTAAATAACTGAATACTGAAAAAACAAACAAACAATATAGCCCAAAACTGAGAGTATACTATTCTTAATGAACATCTCACCAAAATGGGGCTCATTCTGACACCCTTTGATCTTCACTCCACGGGGTCCCGTCTCAATCAGGAAGTGTCGCACCAGCTGCTCTAATGGATTGGCTACCATGTGCGTGTTAGGGAGAGAACATGAAGAACACTATTAGCTAGCTGAAACTGAAGTGCTTTGTGTCGAGGAAGTGTAGGGTGTTGAGATGAAGGCAAAGGCTCGGGAAGTTGTTGAGTCATACCTTTGCTGCTGTTGTTGTTGACATTAGTGGGCGGGATGGCCACCTTCAGTGCCAGGCCATAGGCACCTTGGAAGGAGTTGCTGTCCCGGATAAGAAACACCCCTGGTTCTCTCTCCTTCAGCGCAGCTATGGCTACAGGCAAACAGAAAAAATACATTTTAAAAAAGTTTCATGCATATTGCATAACAGTCAGAGAGCTTTCTTTATGACGAGTTAAAAAGTAACAAGTTACCTTGGTCCCTGGAGATGCCAGGCTTGTACCAGAAGCGTGAGCTGTCCTGGACAAACTTAACACTGACTCTGCCTGCCATCTCCCCCTCCAGAGATAGAGTTCCTTCTCCTTGGCCTGCAGGGAGTGCCATCTCCCCCACCGTTGGAGAGAAGGTGACATGGTGCTGTGAGAGGGAGGGCCTCAGGGTACCCACCCCGCCGTTAGGTGACCCTGGCTGGGCAGGCTGCCGCCGTTTCTCTGGGAGTAGGGGCTGGGGGATGGTGACAGCAGTGTCGCCCGAGTATGGCACATGGGGGACAGATTGGGCACAGCAGCCGGTGGCAGAGGTGGGGAAGGTTGGGGTGTCATGTACCTCAGGGGCTGGAGAGTGCCCACTGGCGCTGCTTTCCATGCCAGGGTAGTGCTGCAGGGGTCCTGGGGGCTCAGTGCCCAGCATCAGCCTACGGCCCAGGGTGGCGAAGCCGGGCACAGGAGGCTCTGAGGAGGGGGAGCCCTCCAGACTGCTGATGGGAGGCTGGGGGGAGGAATGGGCCGAAGTGGGGGTGGAGCTGGGTTTAGGGACCTCTGGGGTCAGCTCCCTGGGTGGACATGCTCCGTTCAGCTGGCCCTGGCCTGGACAGGGTCCTGGTGTGCCAGTTGCAGGGCTGGGGGGCTGGTGCTGGGCAAGAGGAGGCAGTGCAGCAGTCTCTGTAGGAAGGGTGGTCTCTTGACCAGTTGGGCTAGCTTTCTCAGGGGGGGTCTGAGTGGGTGATACAGGGAGGCAGTGGTTGCTGGGCTGGCTGGTTGTAGGTGAGTGTGGTTGTGTCAGTGTGGTGCAGTGGCTGTTGAGTTGGGTGGGGGAAGGTGTGGGTGTCACGGATGTAGACTGTGAGGGGTCAGGGATGTGTTGCTGGTTGAGCTGAGACACCTGAGCAACAGTACTATTGGGCCTATCCTGAGACTGGGCAGATTGAATGTCACTGTTGACTATGTCAGTTGATCGAACTTCATACTCTTGCACACCTAGACTGGGCCTGAAACAAACATAAAGTCATATTAAAGAGGTATGCAATATATTCTTACATTAGATTTTGAAATGTTTATTTAAGGAGATTGTCTGGTACTTCTGTATACTATTTAGCCAGTAGTTCTGAAAGTAGCGCTCGGGAGCTAAAAGTGGTCCCCGAAAATTGCTACTACGTCACATATGTGCAGTCATTGCTCTCTCGCTCGCTCTTCTGTGTGTGCATCTTGCTAGCTGTCACTCAAATGGCGAGTGGCTGAAGCTCATTGGCTAGAACTCTTAATTGCTAGGGGGCTGGCCCATGTGGGGGAAAATGTAGGGAAAATGGGGCAGCACAGCTTTGAGAAAAACAGTTGCTTTCAAACTAGGGATTTCGTGGCTAATTGAGGTAAGACAGTGATTATAGATTATACATGTATGAACTACACATTGACACATCCAGCCCAAAGTGGAAGATTTAAAAAAGACTTAGTAGTTGCCAGAGCATGTCTTTAATCGACACACAAGACTGACATGTGACATGCAGATGTTAAAAAGAAGACAACACAACTGATACCTTTCTTGTGTGCGTAGAGGGCTGCTGGTATGAACAGGAGTGGGTGGCCCAGAGCGGTCAGAAGGCGTGGAACACGGTACATGGGCATCTCGATGCATCCTCTTGAAGGAACCTTGGGAGATGTGGTCCCTCCAACCCACATTCTCACTCATCCCCCTTCCATCTTATGGAAGACAGAGAAAATAGTGAATTATTTTATGTGACACCGAACGGTCAATTGACAAATTATTTCCTACATTGGTTTAAATGTAATTTCATGAAATGATCTTATAAAATGTTGTAGCTAATAAACCCATTTTGCATAGTGCCTGTTCAGTGGGGGTTGTCTCACCTGTCTGGCTGTCGGAGAGGTACTGCTGAGGGTGGGCTTCAGGGTGGTGGTCTGCTGGCCCTGTGGTGTGGCTGCAGGGGCCTGACAGGGTGGAGGGAGGGGGCAGAGGGGAGGTGGACTCAGACTGGTAGCCTGAGGCGTAGCCCCTGCTTTCAGAGGGGGAGGGCTGGTAGGGGGAGCAGGGGCAGGCCTGGTGGGGGGTCTGGTAGCCACTGCTGCTGCTACTGTACTTCAGGTCCAGGTGGGAGTGGGCGTGGGAGCGAGACGCCTCTGGGTACGCAGGGTGGCCGGACGGCAGGGGGTCAAAGGTGAAGGCAGGGAGCTCGTGTCCCTGGAGCCCGTAGGAAGACACTGTAGCCCTCCTGTGCCAATAGTCGGCCTCTCTCTCCCTCTCCCATTGGAGCTCCGCCTCCCTGTCCCAATGCAGTGACATCTCCCTGCCTCTTCTCAGTCCCACTGTCTCCCTCTCCCAGTGCATCTCTGCCCCTCGGGGCAGCTCAGACTCCCTCCCCCTCCTCAGCCCTGCTTCACGATGTTGCAGCTCTGCCTCTCTGTCCCAGTGGAAGCTCTCTCCTCGCTCCAGCCGCAGGCCTTGGAAGGCTGAGTCCTCCCTCCTGATAAGGCAGTCCCGGCAGGGGCAGCCAGGGGGCGGCAGGCCGTCCAGCAGCAGCATGTCGTGGTAGGGGCCGGAGGGCTTGGCGTGGTGAGGGTGGTGATGGGTGTGTGAGGGAGGTTGGTGGTACGGCCCATAGTCATCACTTCTACAGAGCAGGCGCCCGGGAGGAAGGGTGTGTGGGTGGGAGTGGGGGGTCAGCTCCTGGGATGGATAGGGGCACAGAGAGGGGTGACGAGAGGGTCCCTCAGAGCAGGAGCGGTGCAGGTAGTGTGGCGGGCCCTGCTGGCGGTCCCACACCAGGTCAGGGGGAGGCAGGGCCTGATGTGGGTGAGAGTGGGGACTGTAGTGCTGGCACAGGTCCATGTGTGAGGGGACAGTGGCAGGGTTAGCCGAGGGCGGTGCCCCAGGATGGCCATTGGTGCCCGGGGCTCTGTCCAGGCAGTATCCGTTGGGAATGAGGTGGAGTCGGTCACAACCGGGCTCGGCACAGTGCTGGGAGTGGTAGCCCAGCCGGCAGGAACAGGAGCGGCCCAGCCTCAGGGTACTTGTACGCTCAGAGGGAGAGGAAGAGTCCCCGTCATCCAGGATGGCAGTCTCCCTCTCTCTGTCCCGGCTGTCCCTCTCCCCCTCGATGCCCCCCAGCAGGCGCTCCAGCTCCTCCTTCTCCTGGCGAGTGGGGGGCGGGGGCCCTCTGTGCTCTTCTGGACGCTCTGGGAGGGCCGACGAGTGGGCAGAGTGGCTAGAGAGGCCGGAGTGAGTGAGAGAGTCAGAGCTAGGGGAGAGGAGCTGGTTCTGACTTGGCCTCTCCTCGCTGGTGCCTGCTGGACTCCCATTGGTGGAGGTCAGGGAGCCTGAACCTGGGCCTGAACGACGCTTCTTTATCTGGGCGTACAGACTGCCATCCACTGGACCCCTGGTGTGGGCTATGTCTGAGAGAGAGAGAGAGAGAAGAGAGAGAGAGAAGAGAGAGAGAGAGAGATAGATAGAGCGAGTAAGAAGACGTAGAGAGAGGAGATAGAAGAGAGATGAGCTAGAGAGGAGAGAGATAGAGTAGAGATAGAGAGAAGCTCGAGATAGAGCGATCTCTACTCTCTCTCTCCTCTCGTCTCTCTCTCTCTCCTCTCTCTGCTCGCTCTCTTCTTCTCTCTCTCTCTCTCTCTCTCTCTCGTCTCTCTCTCTCTCTCTCTCTCTCTCTCTCTCTCTCTCGCTCTCTCTTCTCTCTCTCTCTCTCTCTCTTCCTCCTTTCCCCTTCCCTAGTACAGTAGTATCAACAGTATAGCCTTAAAGTAATTGCCCAGTGTTTCCAGATTTCTATGAAATATGACCTATAATTATTTACAATATAAGCAAAATATTTTTATTTCCAAATAGTTTAAATTAAGTATCTTAAAGATCAGCTGTGTTGGAATGGTGTGGGCGTACCCCAACAACAGAATGGTGTGGGCGTATACCGGTCATAAAAAATATACACGCAAGTAGACCGCTGATTGGCCAGCTCATCCTCTAGACCACTGATTGGCCAGCTCATCCTCCTCAGGGAGATGGCATCATATTCTATGAGGAAATAGCAAGCCTTTTTTAAACGGTCTGTTTGAGCACAGTTCAATTTTATTGACCAGATACTCCATTGGCTGTCTAACAATAAAAATAAATGTCTTCAAAAATGGAAGGCAGTCAGGAGGAGGCAATGTTAAGGTGGGACCATTCTAGCCAATGAGAGGGCAGATACGCATGTGACCAACCATAACAGTCCTTGCTATCCGGGATCGTTGGGACGTCCCTACCCCCCATTGAAGTTGACATTTAAAATGGTTAAGGTACCAGTTAAGGTTAGGGTTTAGGGTCATCCCAAGGATTCCATATAGCACTAAAAGTTTTTTTTTTTAGTTGCTGGGATGCCCTACTTATATCAGTACACTCGTAACTACCTAAGCATTACAAAACGTATATTAGATAAAATAAACCTCACGTAGCAAATAAGCTATACAATTATTTTGGGACCAAATTCGACACTCTCATTGACCTTTTGCTTAGTGAGCAAAACATTTTTAAATGCCACCTGCTGGAGAAGACAGATTTTGGGCCAAGTTATCCCTCCCACTTTGACTCTTCCTCTCTGGTTTGAGATACAAGTTTGAAGTGGGGTTTTTGAGTGTTTTCCCACCCCTCAAATGTATGCTTTGGCCACCAATATGAGTATAGGATGAGTCAACAAAATTATTTGGATATGAGTTAATAAAATATGAACTTTTAAAAGTGATATTTTCACTGGGCAGTTACTTTAAGCTGGATGATTGAGATAGGGCCCATCAGAAATTCAGGGAGGCTTTCTGTACCTTCTAGACTGTCCTGGTAGCGCTGGTTGAAGTTCTCATAGGAGTCCCAGCGCACCACTGGGTCAGCTGTGTTGTAGTCCACTGTGACAGCAGGGTCATTCCTCTGGTACTCACGCCCTGAGGGGATAGTGCATATGATTAAACATATGATTAAGCACAAGCACATTAATACAAACTTGGTATTGTGTTCACTGGTACTGTTAGATTGTAAGTTCTCCTGAAATGAGAGAGTTGAAGAAGAGACACATAGTAAGAACAAACCTTTGATCTTCTCTGGTCCAGAGGAAAAGACAAACTCTACAGTTGCATCAGAGGGGAATCGTTCATCTGAGAAAAGAAATGACCACATCTATCGGGTGCGTTTTCATGTTTTCCTTTAGAGTGGCTTGGTTGGTTCAATTGGGCTAATTACTGCCACATAATCCCCTGGTGCTTTTTCAGTACAGGCCACAACTTTTCAGCTGGAAGTAATTTAACAGAAATTAAAAACAGGGGAATTAGGAAATTAGTGTGTTCATTATACAATTAAGTAATGAACCCTGAGGGATTCATTTTAACACATCGGTTCCATATAGTAATTTCCACTTCTCTTAACCACCACATTGAACCAACAAGCTTTATTGTTCCACACTGGCTTAACCATTACTGTCAAGCAGGCCTTGTATTGATGATAAACCCTTTCCATACATGTCTCAAGAGGAGCCTTTCTCTGCCCTCTCCCCAGACCCTCCCCATCCATACCAGTACAGGCCTCATCCAGCTCCCCCTTGCCGAACCACAGCTGTGCCCCGTGGATGGTACAGGTGTGGAACTGCAGTCTGAACACTGTGTCTCTCTCTGCACTCTGGGCCCGTCTGTGGTAACATTTCACCTGCAAGGGGAGACAGAGAGGTGGGGAGGGAGCAGAACAACAGATGAGATGGAGGAGAAGAGAATCATGCTACTTTCTGAACAGGCATTGGCAAGGCAGTGACTTAACTCAGACTGTCTGTCTGATTCAGATTTACCATGATGTCTCCCTTCAGCAGCAATGCAGGCTCAATGGTCACACACAGTCTTCTGCCCCCGGAACCCTGCAAGTCACTGTGGACAACACACAACATATGAATACAAACAGATAGGGAAAAGTAAAGGCACATCCTGTCCAGTATGTTAGAGAGATGGCTTTTCTGTCAGTGGTGTTGGTTAATAATACTGTAGGACATAAAGTGATGCAGACTCACTATATCCCTGAGGTGTAGACCAGCTGCATGGACTGGTAGATCTTCAGGAAGGGGAAGTAACCTGGGCAACGATAAAGAGAGGCGGTGTTCAGCGTTACACAGTGGAATGTGTTGACTGTCTCTCCCCATGTCCTTTGTCATACGATTAAAGATAAACAGGCCAGTGTGTGGGTGGAGGGTGAATTTGACCATGTGAAAACACTGCTGACATTCACAGGGCCATATCTCAGAGCCTTGTGCAGAGACATGCACTTATAGACACACACACACACCTGGCGCACGCACACATACATGCACGCACACACAACAGTCTCCTGTAAACACAGACTCAAGACCGACTCAGTTCCCTGAGGTAGGTGCATGAGTGGTCTTATCTGAGGATGGGAATAACCAAGTGTCAGTCAGGGGGAACAAGTGTGTAGTGCCCTCGCATGGCCTCACCTCCTTCACCCTGGAAGTTAGGGAGTGTGGGGATGAGGACCTGGTGGAGGAACAGCGGGCTGCTGTTCATCTTGATTGCCCCAGAGAGGAGCCCCCCAAAGTAGTAGATATACCTGAGGGGGGGGGGGGGGGGGGGTAGTTAGCCTACATCACTTAAGACAAAAAAAATTAAAACATGGGGCTTGTTTGTTGGTTAGTGATATAGACAAAAATGTCTGTAGATGGTCCTTACCTGTTTTGGGATGGTTGGAGGGAGGACGAGACCTTATCCTCACAGAACTTCCTCATGGCCAGTGTGCTTAGGGCCTGGTCTGCCCTGCTCAAACACACAAACACAGAATTAAAGCGACACACTGCACAAGAAGAATACACACTTCATAGAGAGTATTATACAAAATGTACATAACATTCCCATTTTGGGCTTAAGACCAGGCTCTCTAAGAGCCAGAAGTACATGAATGCAGCTGGCTTGAGCCAAAGAATAAGCCAGTTTCCATTACTACAGCCTTAAACCATGCTCTGCGTGGAAACTGTGGCTTTGGATGCAGGACAGGACACTTACCCTGCAGAGATCTTGCTGTAATGCATGTAGGCTGCAATAATCACTCCTGTCTTGCCCTTGTTGCCCTGGAAGAGGAAGATCCGTGCCATCAGGACATAAAATACCAACTGTTTTTAGCCTAAGGCATGAGGCATTAAATTGATTATTACTTTTGTAAAGATATATGGACATCACTACCCTTATAAGAACATTTTGACCACCGAACTTCACAGCGATTTCAACACTTCACAGTGAAAAGATACAAAGATGAGATTACATATTGCCCTTAAATATATGAAAGAGCTTCTGGAAAGTGAGTGCAAGTCATCTGGGTAAACCCAGCAGTCTGTTTTTTTGTGTTTTCTTTAAAAGCCACTAAAACAACAGAACAACCATTTAAAACCCAGTCAAAAGTAGACCGAACCCTGACCTTGCAGTGCAGGACTACCACATGCTGGGGGTCGGAGGTCAGCCAGGTCTCCATGGCCTTACACATGGCACAGATCTTGTCCAGGGGAGGGGCATGGAGGTCAGGCCAGCCGAAGTCATGGACCTTGACGTCATGGGAAAATAGTGAGGAAGATAGAAAAAGTATGTTATATAATTAGTCACAGAAAGTGGAACTGATACAGAATTGATACAGAAAATTAAAAAAGTTATACCTTTGGATTCATGCGGGTGATGTCATGGCGTCGTTCAGAGAGGTTGAAGAGCTGAAAGCCAAATTCATATTCGAGATGAATGATGTGTGTACGCAACAACCAGCCTAGCAAGCTTCACATATAAAAGCACATATTAGTATTTAGTATTTTATTAAGATCCCCATTAGCTGCTGCCAAGGCAGCCGCTACTCTTCATTGGGTCCAAACAACACATCACAACAAAACAATAGTCTACATCATAAATAAAACAATACATCACACAAGACATTGTGCACTATACAAGTTGACACTTCTCCACCATTACACATCTACAATATAAAATGCACAATATTACAACAATACAATATTAAAATGTGTGTGAGTGTGTCTCTTCACAGTCTGTGTTGTGCCGTGAGGTGTTGTTTTATCTGTTTATTTTAAATCGGATTTTACTGCTAGCTTGAGTTACCTGATGCGGAAGAGATTTCCATGTAGTCATGGCTCTATGTAGTACTGTGCGTTTCCCAGCTTCAGTTCTGGACTGTGAAGAGACCCCTGGTGGCATGTCTTGTGGGGTATGTATGGGTGTCTGAGCTGTGTTAGCTGTTTGAACAGACAGTTCAGTGCTTTCAACACGTCAATACCTCTCACAAAGAGAAGTTGTGATGCAGTCAATCTCTCCTCTACTTTGAGTCAGGAGAGATTGACATGCATGTTCATGATATTAGCCCTCCGTGTACATTTAAGGGCCAGCTATGCTGCTCTATTCTGGGCCAACTGTAATATGCCTATGTCCTTCTTTGCAGCACTTGACCATATAACTGGGCAATAGTCCAGGTATGATAAAACTAGGGCCTGTAGAACTTGTTTGGTTGATTGCGATGCCAAGAAAGCAAAGCAGCGCTTTATCACTGACATACCTCTCCCCATCTTAGCAACCGTTGCATCAATATGTTTTGACCATGTCAGTTTACAATCTAGGGTTAAACTAAGCAGTTTAGTCTTCTCAACGTGTTCAATTTTTCATAACAAGATTTAGATGAGGTTTAGGGTTTAACAAGTGATTTGTCCCAAATACCATGCTTTTAGTTTTTGATATATTTAGGACTAGCTTATTACTAGCCACTCATTCTAAAACTGACTGCAGCTCTTTGTTAAGGGTTGCAGTGATTTCACTTGCTGTGGTAGCTGATGTGTATAATGTTGAGTCATCAGCGTACATAAACACACAGGCTTTACTCAAGGCTAGTGGTAGGTCATTAGTAAAAATAGAAAACAGTAAAGGACCAAGACAGCTGCCTTGAGGTATACCACACTCTACCTGGTTTACGTTAGAGAGGCTTCCATTAAAGAAAACCCTCTGTGTTCTGTCAGACAGGTAGCTCTCAATCCACGATATGGCAGAGGATGTAAAGCCATAACACATACAGTGGGGAGAACAAGTATTTGATACACTGCCGATTTTGCAGGTTTTCCTACTTACAAAACTTTGTATGATTTTTAAGTAATTGATTTGCATTTTATTGCATGACATAAGTATTTGATCACCTACCAACCAGTAAGAATTCCGGCTCTCACAGACCTGTTAGTTTTTCTTTAAGAAGCCCTCCTGTTCTCCACTCACTACCTGTATTAACGGCACCTGTTTGAACTCGTTACCTGTATAAAAGACACCTGTCCACACACTCAATCATACAGACTCCAACCTCTCCACAATGGCCAAGACCAGAGAGCTGTGTAAGGACATCAGGGTTAAAATTGTAGACCTGCACAAGGCTGGGATGGGCTACAGGACAATAGGCAAGCAGCTTGGTGAGAAGGCAACAACTGTTGGCGCAATTATTAGAAAATTGAAGAAGTTCAAGATGACGGTCAATCACCCTCGATCTGGGGCTCCATGCAAGATCTCACCTCGTGGGGCATCAATGATCCTGAGGAAGGTGAGGGATCAGCCCAGAACTACACGGCAGGACCTGGTCAATGACCTGAAGAGAGCTGGGACCACAGTCTCAAAGAAAACCATTAGTAACACACTACGCCGTCATGGATTAAAAATCCTGCAGCGCACGCAAGGTCCCCCTGCTCAAGCCAGCGCATGTCCAGGCCTGTCTGAAGTTTGCCAATGACCATCTGGATGATCCAGAGGAGGAATGGGAGAAGGTCATGTGGTCTGATGAGACAAAAATAGAGCTTTTTGGTCTAAACTCCACTCGCCGTGTTTGGAGGAAGAAGAAGGATGAGTACAACCCCAAGAACACCATCCCAACCGTGAAGCATGGAGGTGGAAACATAATTCTTTGGGGATGCTTTTCTGCAAAGGGGACAGGACGACTGCACCGTATTGAGGGGAGGATGGATGGGGCCATACATCGCGAGATCTTGGCCAACAACCTCCTTCCCTAAGTAAGAGCATTGAAGATGGGTCGTGGCTGGGTCTTCCAGCATGACAATGACCCGAAACACACAGCCAGGGCAACTGGTGCAGTGTGTGCAAACCTGGTCAAGACCTACAGGAAACATATGATCTCTGTAATTGCAAACAAAGGTTTCTGTACCAAATATTAAGTTCTGTTTTTCTGATGTATCAAATACTTATGTCATGCAATAAAATGCAAATGAATTACTTAAAAATCATACAATGTGATTTTCTGGATTTTTGTTTTAGATTCCGTCTATCACAGTTGAAGTGTACCTATGATTACAGACCTCTACATGCTTTGTAAGTAGGAAAACCTGCAAAATCGGCAGTGTATCAAATACTTGTTCTCCCCACTGTACGTATTTTCAGCAGCAGATTATGATCGATAATGTCAACAGCTCCCACAATCTTCTTATTATCAATTTCTTTCAGCCAATCATCAGTAATTTGTGTCAGTGCTGTACATGTTGAGTGCCCTTCCCTATAAGCATGCTGAAAGTCTGTTGTTAATTTGTTTACTGTGAAATAGCATTGTATCTGGTCAAACACCATTTTTTGCGAAAGTTCACTAAGGGTCGGTAGCAGGCTGATTGGTCTGCTGTTTGAGCCAGTAAAGGGTGCTTTGTTATTCTTGAGTAGCGGAATGACTTTTGCTTCCCTCCAGGCCTGAGGGCACACACTTTCCTGTAGGCTTAGATATGGCAAATAGGAGTGGCAATATAGTCTGCTACCATTCTCAGTAATTTTCCATCCAAGTTGTCAGTACCAGGTGGTTTGTCATTATTGATAGACAGCAATAATGTTTTCACCTTTTCCACACTCACTAAAGAATTCAGAATTATGTTGCTTGTCTTTCATTATTTGGTCAGTTATGCATGGATATGAATGTTCAGAGTTTTTTGTTGGCATGTCATGCCTAAGTCTGCTAATCTTGCCAATGAAAAAGTAATTAAAGTAGTTGGCAGTATCAGAGGGTTTTGTGATAAATGAGCCATCTGATTCAGTGGATGGAGCGGAGGTCGCCTTTTTGGCCAAAATGTGATTTAAGGTTCTCCAAAGCTTTTTTCTGTCATCCTTTATATAATTTATCTTTGTTTTGTAGTACAGTTTCTTCTTCTTTTTGTTTAGTTTAGTCACATGATTTCTCAATTTACAGTAGGTTAACCTTTCGGCTGTGCAGCCAGACATTTTTGCATTTCATTTTGCCTCGTCGCTCTCAACCATACAGTTTCTGAATACCTCACCAATCCACAGGGATTTAGCAGTTTGAACAGTCAGTTTCTTAATGGGTGCATGCTTATCAGTAACTGGAAGAAGCAATTTCATAAATATGTCAAGTGCGGTGTCTGGTTGCTCCTCATTACTCACAACAGACCAGCAAATATTTTTTAAATCTTCAACATAGGAATCACTAGCAAACCTCTTGTATGATCTCTTATACACTATTTTAGGCCCAGCCTTTGGAACCTTTTTCTAGATATGGCCACTATATTATGATCACTACATCCGATGCGTGTGGATACTGCTTTAAAGCAGATTTCTGCAGCATTAGTAGCCTCTTCACTCCGAGAGAACTGTACACTACACATATCTCCCGTCACTGAAGGCAACATCCCGTACCCCGAAAACATATTTACCAGCCCTCTGGTTTACCTATTTCCGATAAACTTTTCCCGGCACCGAAGGCAAATCTATAATCCGGAATGACTTACCAGTCGTTTCGGGCTATACAAGGTGTAAAAATAAACACTATTTTTTATTTATCCCAAAGCTTACTCCCTAGTCCCCATACTCCGTAATGCTACCGCGTGATCCAAGATGGCAGCGCACCTTTAGGGAGATATGGTGTGAATTCGGCTAACTCTGGAAAAGTTTTATTTAAACGCTTATTTTCACACATTGTATAGTCCGAAACAACTGGTAAGGCATTCCGGATTATAGATTTGCTTTCGGTGACGGGAAAGGTTTATCGTAAATAATTAACCAGAAGGCTTGTAAATATATTTTTGGGTACGGGATTTCGCCTTCAGCGACGGGAGATCAATGTGTAACGATACAGGTCTCCCGGAGTGAAGAGGCTACAGCATTAGTAAAGATACGATCAATACACGTGGATGATTTCATTCCTGTGCTGTTTGTAAATACCCTGGTAGGTTGACTGATAAACTGAACCAGATTGCAGGCCCTGGTTACAGTTTGAAGCTTCTTGTTGAGTGGACAGCTTCATGAAAACCAGTCAATATTTAGGTCACCCAGAAAATATACCTCTCTGTTGATATCACATACACAATCAAACATTTCACACATATAATCCAAATACTGACTGTTAGCACTAGGTACTCTATAGGAACTTCCCACAAGGACAGGCTTTAGGTGAGGCAGGTGAATCTGTAGCCATATTACTTCAACAGCATTTGACATGAGATCCTCTCTATCCTCTCACCAACCAGTCGATCTGCAAATATTTCTGTAAAAAGCCCAACGATAAAGACTTGCATTCCTATTTTTTTATTAGTTTTGCGCTGTTGGCGGTAGGTGCAGTTGATTCAGCTGCCCTGCACGCCGGGTAGTCGAAGTGTTAACCATGACTAGAGAGAGACTGTCAAAAAATACAGCAAAGAGCTGCTGTTTTTATGAGTGAGTTCATGTATCGATAGACTTGCGTTGTTATTAACGGCTTGTTTCTTTCTAATATCGAGGAGTATTTCACGTTCTTTGGTCATACGAGTAACAACATGAATTGGTACATGAGTCTCTCTCTCTCTCCCTCTCTCTCTCTCTAGGATAATATGTGTGTTATGTTAGATAAGGTCTCTGATGCTAAGAGAGAAATGTATTTTCTTGTGACCTGAACATTGAGTGGTTATCATCTAGTTGTCCTCTCAAGAGGAAGCTTCTTACTCTGACTAATGCCTGTAACATGACCCATGTTATCGCTCAACCAACTAGTGTTGGATCTGTGACATCCACTTGTATTGATCATATATTCACTAATGCTGCAGTAATTTGCTCCAAAGCAATATCAGTTCCCATTGGCTATAGTGACCATAACATTGTGGCAATAACAAGGAAAGCCAAAGTACCAAAGGCAGGGCCTAAAGTTATTTGTAAGAGATCATACAAAATGTTTTTTTGTCAAAGATGTTGGTCTGATGTGTATAAGGAGGAGAATCCAGATGCAGCACTTGGAGTTTTTGTAAAATTATTGTTGCAAATTGTTGACAAACATGCACCTGTTAAGAAACTAACTGTTGGAGCCCCCAGGATCGACGATGAATTGAAAAATTGTATGGTTCAAAGAAATGATGCAAAAAAGGTGGCAAACAAGTCAGGCTGATAAGCTGATTGGTTGACATACTGTCAATTGATACATTTTGTGACTAAACGTAATTTTTTTTTATAAATAAATGATATTACCTAAACAAGATAAATTACATAAAAGCAATAGAAAATACTTACCACCAGGTATAGCCAACCTAGATGGGAAACTATTGAGAATGGTAGTAGACTGTATTGCCACCCCTATTTGCCATGTATTTAACCAAAGCCTAAAGGAGTGTGTGTGTCCACAGGCAAGGAAGGAAGCTAAAGTAATTCCACTACCTAAAAATAGAAAAGCACCCTTTGCTGGCTCTAACAGATTACCAATCAGTTTGCTGCCTGTTGTTAGTAAACTGATGGAGAACATTGTGTTTGAACAAATACAATGCTATTTTTCAAAGAACAAGTTAACTACTGACTTTCAGCATGCATATAAGGAAGGGCATTCAATTTGTACTGCACTGACTCAGATGACAGATGATTGGCTAAAATAAATGGATAATAAGATGATAGTTGGAGCTGTATTGTTAGATTTCAGTGCAGCCTTTGATGTTATTGATCATAATTTGTTATTGAAAAAACTCACTTGTTATGCCTTTACATCACCTGCCATCACATGGTTGGGGAGTTACTTATCCAAGCGTGTTCTTCAATGGAAGCTTCTCTAACATCAGATATGTACAGTGTGGTATCCCTCAGGGCAGTTGCCTTGGGCCGTTACTCTTCTCTATTTTTACAAATGATTTGCCACTTGTCTTACAAGCAGCTAAAATGACTATGTATGCTGATGATTGCACACTCTACACATCAGCACCTACAGCCAGTGAGCTCACTGAGACTCTTAGCAAGGAGTTACAGTCAGTGCCAGAATGGGTAATTAACAATTAACTGGTCTGAAATACATCTAAAATCAAAAGTATTGTATTTGGTTCAAAGCATTCTCTAAACCTCAACTGGAGAAAGGGTGCGACCATTGAACAAGTTGAAGAAGCTGAACTCCTAGGAGTAACATTGGATGGTCAGTTATCATGGTCAAGTCATATTGACCAAGTTGTTGTGAAGATGGGGAGAGGTATGTCCCCAAATATCGACTGTACTAGTTGTTCTGATCTTGTCCCATCTTGATTACTGTCCGGTAATATGGTCAGGTGCAGCAAAGAAAGACCTAGCAAAGCTGCAGCTGGCTCAAAACAAAGCAGCACGCCTTGCACATACATACTGCACATACAGAACTAACATCAACAACATGCATGATAGTCTTCCATGGTTGAGGTTTGAGGAGAAATTGATTACTTCTCTTCTAGTCTTTTTAACAAACATTTGTTGAAAATGCCTAACCACTATAATCTATTTGCATACACTTCAAACAGACATACATACTCCACCAGACATGCCACTATGGGTTTCTTCACTGTACCCAAACCAAAAACAGATTTAATGCGTAATTCAGTTATGTATAGAGCCATGCCATCATGGACTGCTCAGCCACCAGAGGTTACTCAGGCAAAAAGCAAGTTTAGCTTTAAAAAACAGAATAAAGAATCTCGTATCACAGCGCCTCTCCTCTTTCTAAAGATCGAATTTAACTGTACTTTATATAAGGATATGAATATGTGTATATGAATAGTGTGTAAATAGTACTTTGTTGTCTCTTGATGTCTTTCCAATATATAACTATTATTTTTATTTTGAATTGAATGTCCTTGTCTATACCTGTTCTGTATTTTGTCATGTCATTTATTTGTACGTTTTATGTTGTGCAGTAGCTACTGGGGATGCTAATGAACCAAACTAAACTCTCCCTCCCTCCGCTGACTGACCATCAGATGCAGCACCATCAGTCCAGTAAAATAAAATAACTGCAAATTATTTAAATGTATGCCTCACAAGTAATACAACAAATGATATATTACCATTCTGATCATAGATCATTTAAAAATGGTCTGAGAAGAACAACATATGCAGTGATAATGTATTGAGCCTATAGCCTACTGCACACACCTCCTTGCTACTGTTTTTAATAGGTAAATGTTGCATAGGCTTACATCTTTTAAGTCATGTTTAAAAAAAAAAAATTCTGAGCGCTAGATCTCGGCCTCCATTTTGATTCAGAAAGTGATCTAGGCTCAGAGGAGGTTGCTGACCACTGCTTTACAGGAATATGATTCTGAATATACAAAGCAACACCTCCCCCATTGGCATTCCTGTCTCTTTTATAGATGTTATAACCATGTTTTGCTACCACTGTATCATCAAAGGAATTATCTAAGTTAGTTTCCGAGATAGCCAGTATATGAATGTTATCTGATGTTAGTTAGTTAGCGATTTCATGAACCTTGTTTCTCAGGCTACATATGTTAATGTAGGCTATTTTTAACCTTTTTCTGGGTTGCTTTTCTGGGTTGCTATAAAAACACATATGATAGCATCACTGAGTGTATGGCTACGTTCCAAAATCCATACCAGCACACCACTTAGAATGCATGCCCAATGCATTCCTTCATTTGGAGTGGTATTATAGTAGTGTAGATATTTGAACCTAGCCCATGTCTACAGTAGCAGGATATACTGTACTCACCAGAAACTTGTCCTGGTGCTTGGACTTGAGCATGGCGGTCACCTCCTTGAGGTTGAGACGGTAGCGCTGCTCGTCCAGCAGAGGGGGGAAGAACACGGAGATGATCCTCTCTGTGATATATGTCAGGTCAAAGTCATAGTGGCCCTCCATGACTCTTTCCATCACACGGTCCACACTGAAACTCCTGACCAGAGGGAGAACGCAAGGGTTTATGCAGTGGTCTACAGATTGATGTTATGTTACTGCTTTGAGCTCTAAAACAACAACACTGAAACCTTTCATTTTCAGCCTCCCTTAAATTAACTCAGCGTTTCCCAATCTAGGAGGAAGTGCAGTTGGATAATGAGAGGAGCTGTAGAATGACAGAGATAAAGAGAGGGAATGAAGGAGGAGTGAAAACAGAAAAAGGGAGAGACTGGGAAAGAGAAGAGAATGAAGAGGAGGAGATAGGATTCAGTGTGAAATCCTCCTCTTAATCATCCAGTACCTTTCCTTCCTCCTCCTCCTCTTCCTCCTCCTCCTCCTCCTCCTCCAGAGAGAGAGAGCGGATATGTGAAATAATGAATTGAATTAGGTTATCATAGAGAGCTGTGTTACCTGGGGAGGGTGGTCCTCTGTTTGGTGTAAGTCAGAGACTTTGTGGAGCCCTGAAGACAGAGATAAATTAAATTAGCACCATTTCTGACACTGATGAGAAGAACAGTGGAGGGGAAGTGAGAAAAGTGTGTCTGGAAAAGTCCTCTTACCAGGTGTTGGATGTGTCTGGATGGAGCTGTCCCTCTGCGCTGCTGTGGGCAACAAGGGGAGACATACGGTAATTCAACAAACAGGCTTCCTTCCTGAAGGCCCACCTATACTACTTCTTGTAGCAACCTGACTTCTAGACAACACTCTCATCCAAGAACAAACCAAGCCCACTCTACTAGCCAAGGAAAAGAGGGGCATCTGCCATTTTCCAACAGCACTGCAGATTTAGGGATGGTTACAGCTTGTTGTTTATATCATAAATTGAAGGAATGAAGGACTATTTAAAGAGAGCGAGAAAGAGGGGTCAATTTACCAGATCAGACGGGGGAGCTGGGATGCATGCTGTGGTCACCTGAAACAGAACAACAGACCATTTTTCCAACGAGAAACATGATCGATTTAAAACAGACAGTCAAACATACACATTGCGTTCTGAGGCTATCTGCTTCGTCTCGCTTTCCGCGTCTGTTTTTTGTTGTTGTTTTTTTTCTCCAGGAAAGAGGGAAGGGAGTGGTGGGGCTGGCGAGGCCGGGGAAGATGGTCAGAGGAAATGCTCCCTCAGACAGACGGAGAGATAAAGAAAGAGAGAAACACACATCTAAGCCAGATAAGAGAGCCCTGTCATCCCATGAAGACATGATCCACATGAATGTAGATTACAGTAGAAATACCAGGACCAGGGAAGTATGGTATGCAAGCCCCAACATTCTCTGGGGCGCTTGGTGGGACGGTCTGAGAAAAGCCAGAGGTTGCATCATTTATCTTGCTAATACACTCCACTTTGGTGTGTCACAGTGGCACAGTTGGTAGCCTGGGAGCATGTGCACATAATCCCAAGTGCACCAATGTGGTCATGCGCACACTGATTCATATAAAACAGACAAAGGGCTACAAAGTACAACTAATAACCTGGTTAAAAGCATGTATTAGAAACATTTACTTTGACAACACTACAGCCTTTGCTGTCTTGCACACACTCAGGCAGGCATGCACACACCCACACAATGTAATTTCCCATGCGCAATGGTCTCCAGATTGTGAACCCAGACTTCTGATCCAGAGCAAGTGGAAGGAAGCGATGTAGCAGCGGTAGTAGAGCTGAGGCAGGGTTGAGGACCACAGTCATGCTTACGTAATGGCCGAGCACACTGCAGGCCAGAGTATGTCCCAGCATTTCCACTCCCCAACCCTGGCACGCCTGTTTGTTTGGCCACAGGAAAGGGCAAGGGCTTGTATATCTCATCGTGTACAGAGGGAAGTTACAGACCCCTTGGGTAGGAGTATGTTTGTGTTTGAGTGTGTGTGTGTGTGCCGGATATAGCTAGTGTGCTTGTGTGCATGTCTAAGAAAGTGTGTGGGCTTCAAACCTCTTATCCTCATACAGTAGGTGTCTGTAGGCTAAGCACAGTGGAGGTGTCAACAGACAATGTGCTGTAACGAGACACACGACCACCACTGCTTTATTCTGTCAAGCAATGATTTGTCTCCATGACGATAATACTTTTTTTCTTTAAGAATCATAGCAGATCTTATCCTGTGTCCTGACTGCGAGTTGGGCTTGTGAAACTGAGACCACATAACTATGAAAACAAGAACAAGAACATGTCTAAAAGGATGTAGCAGGGTACTGCTGCTAACACAAGAACAACATGGCATTGCACTGCTTGCTGTTTGGGGTTTTAGGCTCGGTTTCTGTATAGCACTTTGTGACATCTGCTGATGTAAAAAGGGCTTTATAAATACATTTGATTGATTGATGGCCAGAAGGTGAACCAGACAGCACACTGTCTTTCTTTTCAACTGTTCCTCTCCTCTGCCTCTAACCAATTCTGTCCCGCTCTTTCCCTTGTTCTCTTCCAAACTGACTCCCTCTCCCTTTTTGACATTTTCTTTCCCTGTCTTTCTCCAATAATCCCTCTATCCAGCATTCTCCCTCCCCCCTCTCTTTCCCCCTCTCTCTCCCTGTCAAACTTTCCCTCTCTCCAGCAGCATTCCCTCTCTCTCTCTCGGCCTGCTGCCCTCCCCTCTCAGAGTGAGCGATGGGGCCTGCAGCAGGGGAGCATTACACCAGAACAAACACACCAGATTCCATCTCCTGGGCCAACACTTACGCACGCGCTTCCTGCAAGTGCTCTCCCCCTCCCCTCTCCCTCACTCCCACTCTCCCTCCGTGTACCTCTCCCGCCTCCCCCACTCTATCACTCTCCAAACAGGCCCCGCTGGTAAGGCTCATGGTTCTAACCCCTCTCTGCCTCTTCTAGATGGGCCACTGGTCCAACCAATGTCTTTGATCCTTTAAAGCCAGGGACCACGGCTAATGCACTCACTGTGAATGCATCTCTTCAGTGCTATGCAAGACTAGCTATGGGAGAGCTAACTGATGATGAGGTAGCATTACTGGTATGTTAAATGTATGAGTGAGTGTGTGGGCATAGGGGAGATCCTAGGGTGCATAACAGAACAAAGGGGTCTGCTTCATGTCCACTGACACCAAAAGGTGTCTCTGTAAGTGGAGTACAGGGGAAATAGACTGGAGAACAGGGGAGGAGACAGGGAGGAGTAATGTGGATGTGAACATCATGTAAACAATATCATTAGTGAGCAGAACTGGGGCCAATTTCACTTCATCAACTCTGATTCTGCCCCACCCCAATGGTAATTCATTCAGCATTTCTCTGTCAAGTCTGATTCATGTTTTGTTCAAGAGTTGAGTCTCTCAAGGGTCTCTTTTATTCCATCAAGCCTATCACTAAACAAGTTCGAAAACTGACAATGAGCATACTAAGGCTGTATGTGTAACCATAGAAACGTCACTGGATTTGCACACTTTGTATCCACCATAAGTCTGTGGTAACCCTGTTCCACATTGAGTCACAGAACCTCATGACATATCAAAACAGACTGCGGTCTAATAGAGTGGTCATTGAAACCCACATGGCAGGATTTTCACAACCAGATTCTGGTTGTCTAATCGCCAGCCCCAACCATCTGGTTCTCTCAGCTTTCAATTAGCATAGGAGAAAATCACACACAGAAATGGCATTAGTACATTTCTATGACTTCACTGACATGGTATGCACATTCGTGAATATGATTATACACTGAGTGTACAAAACATTAGGAATACCTCAGAACAGCCTCAATTCGTCGGGACATGGAGTCTACAAGGTGTCGAAAGCGTTCCACAGGGATGCTGGCCCATGTTGACTCCAATGCTTCCCACAGTTGTGTCAAGTTGGCTGGATGTCCTTTGGGTGGTGGACCATTCTTCATACACATGGGAAACTGTTTAGTGTGAAAAACAGCAGCGTTGCAGTTCTTGACACACTCAACCCGGTACGCCTGGCACCTACTACCATACCCTGTTCAAAGGGACTTACATTTTTTGTCTTGCCCATTCACCCTCTGAATGGCACACATACACAATCCATGTCTCAAGTGACATCAATAAGGGATCATAGCTTTCACCTGGATTCACCTGTCCAGTCTGTCATGGAAAGAGCAGGTGTTCTTAATGTTTTGTACACTCAGTGTATTTGTCCTTAGTCTTACTGGAACCAATTGTTGTCTTCACATAGCATTTGTCCAAGACAATTATATTTGATGCTTATTAGCCAACTGTTTTCCCCGTGGGACAGCCAATCACAGGGCAGTGATGAAAGGGAAGCCAATCAGAACTGAAAGCTGATGCCAGATGGCCTTGTGCGTTCATTACAAAAGGGTCTCTCCAGACGGCTGGTGATGACATAGTGCCCAACAGGCATGTGGCTGGTTAGTGTCCCTCAGGCAGCTGTCCATTCTCATAGACCTTCCTGGTATAGAAGATAGTGGGGTGTGACTAAGGTCAAAGGTCCAAGTCCCAGTGGAGGTACCTGACTGTATATCTCTGAGCTAGGTTTCATTATTCAAACACCCCATCCCCAACCCCCAGTCAATCATTTTTACTAAGCTGGCATGAGCAGTCTGAAGCAGACCCAATGCCCCTTAATCACTGCAAGGTGTGCTGTCTCTGAGAGTCCCTGAAAGTGAATCATGCGAGAAAACTAGCTAACGTTGGGGGCCTCGAAAGCCAGGACTGGGATCAACTGCTGTAGGGAATGATCTCTTTATCCATCTGGCTTAAACTCTGTCCATTATATTTGTCTCCCTCTCTATCTCTTCCCATCTCTCTCTCTTTCCCTCTTTTCTTCCCTTTCTCGTTCGCTCTTCCTCGCTCTCTTTCTCCCTCTCTTTACTTTCTCCTTCATTTTCCCCCTCTTTTCTCATCTCTCTTTATCTCCTTCCCCCTCTCTCTCCATCTCTCTCTCTTTGTCCAAACAGCTGAGGGTGGGTACAGAACAGAACAGATAGGACAGAGGTCACATGTGTCCCTTTGGTATCTGTAATTACTGTGTGGGACTCCCAGTCATAGAGCCAGAGTCAACAGCGACCACAACAACCCCCCTCCTCTCCTCCTCCCCCCTGCCTCCTCCAAGTGCAACAAGTATTCCAAGAGCAATGCTGGACAGAAATAAACAGTGGTAAATAAACAGAATCGAAAAAAATCAGCAAGACGAGATTGTGAGAGATCAACAATGGAAAAATCCCCTGTGAACCAACCAACATGAGCCATTTTTATACCGTGTCTAAATGGTTTCCTCATCCTCCCTGTTCCCTCTGTTGTTTAAAATGGGTTCGTCCTGACCATTCTAGCCAGAGCTAGTCTCTTATGCTGTCCCAATAGTATTGCTGAACTCTGAACAGATCCAAATCCTCAGATGGCAATACCTCTTTCTCTTCCTCTAGTTCTAAGAGAAATGTTTTGTGGTAAGGAGTCATTGCCCCATGTACACAGCAACAAACTGACCGTCATGACTCACTATACAGTCACGTCTTTGTATTATACAATGTATAGTCAGTTCAATGTATGTATGTACCTACAAATAGCAATAACCTGGATATAATGACTACTGTATACGGCACCAGACACATTACCATGGTCTGCCCTGTAGTGGAGAAAGTGGAAAGAAATTCTTCGGATGATAGGGAGACTATGCAGCCTTCAGCGTTGTGCAGTCAGAACAGAGCAGAACAGTGGCCAATTAGCCTGGCTTATTTCCCCTCCACCAAGGGTCGTCTGGCAGAGCCCCAGACCTGCTAAGCCAACTGTCACGCTTATGGTTTTAACGCTGATCAGCATCACACTGACTCACTCACTAGTCTGCCCACATTCAAAACAAGCCACGCTATCTACCCCGGCAATTACCATGACTCAGTGACGGGGTGGTGACTCAGAGTCTCTAACGATGATGATGAGACACAGTCATTCTATTTCTATTCTACACTTCCTGTAGTACATGTTTATATAAACTAATTAAGATAAATATATAACAACTGGATTTTAATCTGATTATTTACCAGTGACACATCCCTAGTAATGATTACCAGGAAGATTTTTTCGGTTATTCTGAGCTTTGGTCTGACAGGAAATAGAAGATGAGCAGAGAGGATGCTGGGGTCAGCTCTGTGTTGTTGACAGGGCTAGGAAAACAGTAGAGGTTAACCGGCTCTACAGGCCTTCCTCTTACAGTTGTCTGTTGTCCCTCCACCACTTCCTATCTACAGTACGGTACCCCCCCCCCCCCCCCCCCCCACACACACACCTTCAACTGGTTTCCCGTAAAGGGCAACCAATATCCAGCTGGGGGGGTTACTATTCCTCCAGAAATAGCGGAAATGTCCTGCCTTATTGGGTAGCTCATCAACATTCCCTGACTCTTAATCATGGACCCCCTCCCCTACCCCGGTCCCCCTTCGCTCCCTGTGGACCACATTTTCCACTCCAGCTCACAGATAAGGAGGAACTGTTCTCTACACAGAGAACATGCTGAAATAAAACACTGTTTTGGCATATTGGTGTATTTTTGAAGTGGGATCGCTCATGAAAGAGATGAGCCAGCTGTAGGTTGTTGACTTCGTGGTTGGATGACTGACCGCAACTCCACAAGACAAGTACAAGAGGAGAAGCCATAGGGAGAAGCACACAGACTATTCTTTTTTCTGGCCCCCTCTTTTCCAGGAAATGCTTTATTCTGGGAAGAGGAGACCAAGGGCTTTTCCCGAGGGAGCATCGACAGGACAGTAAAGAAACTTACGGGACAGTTTGTCACCAGGCTGATGGCACCACTTGTCTGTAAAAGGTTGTAAATTCAGTCATTATGAGAGCACAATGGTTCACAGATGGCCAGTGAATGAGGATGTCTCCAGATGCATGGAGAAACTACGTGACTAAAACTCTTACATGAGGAACTGAGGTGTTACATACCCTACTCAGACATTTAGGGTTAATGTGAAGATCAGCCAAATGTGTTCAAGGTCTTGTTCAGAGGTGGAAGTAACAAATTACAAATACTCTTGTTACTGTAATTGAGTCGCTCTTCCGAGTACTTGTACTTTTTTTGTTGTATTTTTCAAAATCAATAATCGTACTTTTACTTACACTGTAAGTATGTTTTGAAGTATTGTACTTCACTACCTTTTTTAAATCATCTGTTACAGAGTACAATTTTGTAGGCTGTCCATAATAGTAAATCATAATAACACGGAAAGTTTGCGAAGCCATAAAAAAACTGCTCATGTTGTTTAGTCAGTGACCAATCAAATCAAATTTCACACATCACGCCAAAACAGGCCAATCAAATCAAGCTGTGTCCACAAACTGAACAATGAATGGTCTGAATATTTTCAAAAAGGCTAAAATAATTTAGCATGTTCGAGATGTGACCGGAAAGAGAGGAAATGCTTTTTTATCAAAGCGGTGTGTGTGAAAAACAATGGAGACAGAGGAGACTGAGGAGACAGTGTTAAAGAGGAGGAGGAGAATCCCTGGCCTCATCTCAGTGACCAGTTCCCCTTTAAGCACAGGAGACGGGACAGTATAATCATGAAATGCAAGCTTTGCTTACCCAGGATGATGGAAGTGGCCGCTAAGTTAGCTAGCTATCTTTGCATTTAAGTTAGCTAGTTAGCTACATGGCTAACCACCACCCGATGATGGTAGCCGTTATTGTGCCTAGCACGTCATTGTCACTATGTGTGGTGGTGGCTAGCTAGCTAGCCATGGAAGTTATCTGGGCTAGATAACAACATTAAGCTAATGTCAGCAAGTGAACTAACGTTAGCTTTGCTTGGTCATGACATATTTAGAGAGACCCCACTGGGCAAAAACTGGTTGAATCAACATTGTTTCCACGTCATTTCAACCAAATAATTCAATGTGATGACTGAATCAACATGGAAAACTGATTGGATTTGAAAAAAGTCATCAACGAAAGGGAATTCCGTCCCATTTTCACCCAACTTTTAACCTAAATCTATTGACATGGTGACCCTTTTGTTGTTTTCACGTTGAATTCACATTAGTTGACAAATCAACCCAAAACTAGACGTTGAACTGACTGTCTGTGCCCAGTGGGACCTAGGAATTTTAACTATGTACTTTCTCTGTGTAAATTAGGATAACATTCATCTAAAAGCCAGACTCTGTAGCTAAGTCTCATAGCATGGGTCAAATTGTATTATTTTTTAGCTAGCTACACTACCAAGAAAATCGTTAAAAACTTAATTGTGAGGCTAAATATACTGAACAAAAATATAAACGCAACATGCAACAATCTCAAAGATTTTACTTAGTTACAGTTCATATAAGGAAATCATTCAATTGAAATAAATTAATTAGGCCCTAATCTATGGATTTCACATGACTGAGAATACAGATATGCTTCTGTTGGTCACATGAAGCCGTTCATGACACCTTAATGAGTGTTTAAGTAGGCCAATAACCTTCATGATTGATGTATTCATTTAACATCAGTGTCTCTCTCAAGTACTGTTTTGTCTACACATCATTATAATTTTATTGAGTGTGTGTGTGAAGTGAGAGAGAACAATAGATGGGTTTGTTAACATTAATTTGTATAAAACCAAACTCTGTGTGTTTCATGAGGTCATGAGACATTCATTTTGCATACATTGATGGAATCCTTTTGTTCACACAGGAAACCTCCATCAAAGATGACGGTCTACAATAACCTCACCTCAGCACGCAAAAAGAAGCGGACCAAGGAACCATCAAACAAGCAAAGATATCAGCAAGCAAAGATATCTTCATTGATCATTTATTTCTATTACAGTTATTGTCCATTAATTACGACTATTCTAACAGGTGTTAAAATGTGCTTATGTCTTACAGGCTGAGCCCTACAGAAATGGCCTTCTTGACCTTGATGAGGCCTGTGGTGACGGCTGGTGGCGGCTTTGAACATCCTACAGTCAGAGACCAACACGCATATGGGGTGGCTGCTGCCGGTGATCTTCTCGCTTCAAGCAAAACTTAAGAGGCTGGAAGCATCGTGCAAGATGTCCCTACCACTCATAAGAGCCATTCAGGAGGGTCTCCGAAAGCGCTTTGGAGGAATGATGGAAGATCCCCAACTTATTGCTGCTGCAATCCTTCTGCCAAAGTTACAAATCTCTTGGACTGACAAAGCAGATGTCATCAAAGCAGGTAAGAATTCCTCACTCTAATATTTGTCACATTATTTGTTAACCTCAAACGTGTCCCTATGGTGATAAGATATACACTGAGTATACCAAACATTAGGAACACCTTCCTAATATTGAGTTGCACCACCCCCTTTTGCCCTCAGAACAGCCTCAATTCGTCAGGGCATGGACTCTACAAGGTGTCGAAAGCGTTCCACAGGGATGCTGGCCCATGTTGACTCCAATGCTTCCGACAGTTGTGTCAAGTTGGCTGGATGTCCTTTGGGTGGTGGACCATTCTTGATACACACGGGAAACTGTTGAGTGAGAAAAACCCAGCAGCGTTGCAGTTCTTGACACAAACCTGTGCGTCTGGCACCTACTACCATACCCTGTTCAAAGGCACTTACATTTTTTGTCTTGCCCATTCACCCTCTGAATGGCACACATACAGTACACAATCCATGTCTCAATTGCCTCAAGGCTTAAAAATCTTTCTTTAACCTGTCTCCTCCCCGTCATCTACACTGATTGAAGTGGACTTAACAAGTGACATCAATAAGGGATCATTGCTTTCACCTGGATTCACCTGGTTAGTCTGTCATGGAAAGGTATTCTTAATGTTTTGTATACTCAGTGTGTATGGTCACTGTGGGTCTTTTCTTAAAATGTTGTTACTCTAAGGTTGCATTACGGGAGCTGGCCACTAGAGTACCCCATGCACCTTTTACTTGCCTCTTGCATATACCTGTGTCTCCACAATAGCTACAGCTAGACATGCACTCATTTCAACATTAGACTTTTTAGGTCAGAGAACATCTAAAAAACTCACTTCAGTCTCAGTATTTGAGAATAACAAGTATGGAAAGTTAGCTAATTATCAAGGTCAATGTTTTTATTTTAAAGGTAACTCAATTAAATGAGCTACTTTTAACTTTTACTTAAGTAGTTGTTTACACCAGTAGTTTTACTTCTACTTGAGTACATTTTTATCAAAGTAACAGTACTTCTATTTGAGTGGGATATTTCAGTACTATTTCCACCTCTGGTCTTGTTCTTATAACACATTATTACAGAAAACAAGGTGATGACAGCAAGGTCAACACAAAACAGATCTGGGCCTGTATCGACAAAGCCTCTAAGAGTAAGAGTGCTGATCTGGGATCAGTTTCACCTTTTAGATCATAATGAAGAAGAGTACAGCTGTAGGAAATGTGAATTATTATGTGGATTATAATTAATGGACTTTGTTTGAGGGGTTGATACATTTTTCGTTAGGCCAAATCAAGTCTGACATTTAAAAGTGTAAATTTAAACTTGTATTGTATTCAAGGTTTAAAAATGCTTCTAAAGCTTGTAATTTCCACATTAAAATGTCAGACTTGATTTGATCTACCCCTCAAAAAATGTGCATTAATTATAATCCACATAATAATTCACATTTCCTCTTGCTGCAGAATTGTTTTCCTGCTGTAGCAAACTGGTTCAAATTAAGATCCTACAGGTTAAGACCCGCTTTGTGGATACAGGCTCTGGCCTAACACTGACCTGACCATCTGTCCATCTCTCTCTCTCTCTTTCATTTTCAATGACTGTGATAAAAAAAGCTACGGTTATTACACTAGCATAACACGGAGGCTGGTGTTTTTATTGAAATCTGACAGATTTTCATGGACAATAACGTATAAAACCCTCAGGGCCAGGGCCAGACGGATGTTGTACCATGTGTATTTGGGGTTTGTGTTTGCTCTTCTGTATGTGGTTTCAATAAAACCCCAGGCAGCTTCCTTCGATCAGAGCTTCCTGAATCCCAAGCTTTCATGGGCGAGCCCCTTAGCCCTCAGCGCTGGCTCTTAAGGCCAGATAACAGTTGAGATGGCCAGAGTCCCATGCCCCCCGGAGGCTGGCCTCACCCTTCCTGGGCAGGACCGATGGCTATCGCTGCCTGGGCACCGGCCACCACCAGTCAACAGGACAGCCTCAGCTATCCAGCTATCATCTCCAGACCCAAAAACATCCAGGCCACAAACAACACAACAGTGTGGAAATAGTATCCTTCTTCTCTCACAGCCAGACCACAGGACAAGAGTGGCCTACATACTATACCAGGTCTACTGCAGATGAGTTTGTGCCCATTCCTAGATAGAAATCATCAAATATGATATTGAAAAACCAACCGGCTATGGACTTTTATTGATTTGCTACTTTTCAAACCCATCCCCTTATCCTCTAGTGCTCTCTCCTCAGATGTAAAAGATGCTACGAAGATCGGAAGGCAATCTCTGCCACATGCCTTCTTCCATAACGCATGTCGCCCGCCGCCACAGTCTGCCAAGTCTCTCCCTGCCCCAGGCCAAAGCTGGCATTCACTCCTCCATCAATGACCCTTTCACATGGAGCAACGTGGGGCTTGGGTGCGGCCGGTCCCCGCTCTGGGAATGGAACAGTGAAGCCTTCACATCAGTGGAAAGAAACTGTAGCCTTCCTTAACCCGCTGCAGCTAAGCTCAGAGGGTAGGGACAGGGAGGACAATTCCAGAGTTGGGCAAGTTACGCAGGAGTGAATTGGTTTGGGTTCTTACCTTTGCCTCGCATTTCTTGTGAGTGGCTGTTTTACACACTGGAGAGAGAAGGATAAGAATGGAACAAAGGGAGACAGAGAATGGAATATTAGTCAGCTTCCAACATCCAGGTTAATTTTGTGTATTTGATGTAGCATTGTTAAAAACATGATCTAACTGATCTGATCTCCCTAGACAATGATCAGCTTCCAGTCAGGAGGATGTTGGCTCTGAGAGAGACAGCGAGCTAGAGCTAACAGGAGTGCCAGCTGAACAGGATCCTCCATGGAGGAGGGTGGAGAGAGAGAGAGAGAGAGAGAGAGAGAGAGAGAGAGAGAGAGAGAGAGAGAGAGAGTGGGAGAGAGAGCAGGAGAGAGAGTCTGAGAAAGAGAGAGAGTCTGAGAAAAAGAGAGTAGAGAGATAGAGAGAGATGAGCGGGAGTGTATAAGAGGAGATAGAGACGAGCAACTAGATAGTAAGAGAGAGATAGAGAGATGTCTCGTGTAGAGATCGTAAGCTCATGATCTCAGAGTCTGCCTGTCTCCTCTCTCTCTCTCTCCTCGCTCCGCTCTCTCATCTCTCCTCCCCTCTTCTCTCCATCTCCTCTCTGGCTCCTACTCTCGTCCCGCGTCCCGCTCGGGAGGTTTACCGCCTCACCTCGCAAGTATCCATGCTGTCCACACTCTGACGACACACCCCACACTGACGCCTCTTCTTAAAAGTCTTCTCCTTGAAGACATGGGGCTCTTCCTTGCCCGTCTGTCAACACACAGTTAGAAACCCAGTACTTAGGGAGTAGCACACACACTAGTGAGTTGTTGGCGTGTTTGAGTGAAAGGAGCTTTGCAGTCAGGTGTTGCTGCTCTTTATTTCTGCTCCAGCCCCTCTGGATGGATGGTTGTATAATGGAGGTCATCTTCTAGTAACTCACCCATGATCCTACTTTGTTTCACAACATGAAATTGGCTTTGAACATGAGACTGCGGGGGGATGGGAGTTACACGTTTCATGGCATGGTAACTAAGCAAATGTAAACATATGTGAACAAATTGTTGCTCTGCTCTTACACACAGACACACATTCACACACTCTCTCTCCCTATGTCATGAACTAAGGAAAGAAAGGATGGAGAATGTTTGTGGAAAAAATGAAGGCATACACACCCACTCAGATATACTGAGGGCAAATCCACCAGTTAATGTAAGCCCTCAGAAGTGTCCATGCATGGCCGTGTGTCCATGTCCGTGTGTATACAGTACAATCTATCTACCGCCTCAAAGCCTGTCTGTTTTCATTGGTCTGGAAATCAAACTGAAACATAGAATGAACCTTTGTTACGGCGGTGTGTGCCTTTCCTCTTCAGTAAAAGGGTCTGTTTGCACACTTTTCCATTCTCCTCTCCCGCTACGACTGGGCACTATTTGGACAGCTGGCAGGAGACTGTGCTTATCATGTTCACTACGCAACTGTGTGGACACCCAGGGCTGGCACCACCCGCCTCACCTCACCCCCCTCCCCCTGCCCACCCATGGCCCCCCCTCACCACTGACCCCAAGCATGCCAGGCATGAGACTAAACCACTGGCTCTCTGAAACGTTCTGCCTGTGTGTCTGCAGCCATGGAGTGGACCGGGAACAAAGTTGAAATAGAGACACTAATTAACTTCACTGCAAGCCTACTATTGTGTGTGAGTTAAATACTGTGGGCATGGTTTCACAACATTTTTGCTAAAGACACGATCATTCTGCATTACAGACCACCTGGCAGACAGAGACAGACGGACAGACAGACGGCAGCGCCTGCATACCCTGGGTTGCGTTCAGAAAGGTGCAATGTACTGAATGTTGCAGAGATAAAAAGCTGACATGATTCCTTACTTTCCTTGTCAGAGAGACATTTCTGTCATTGGGAACACTTCACAACATTGTGCAATACTGAACACGGACCTGGATACTGACATAAGCACAAGCAGCCAGCCACAGCTGGTAAACACTCAGTTGAAACAATGTGCAAGATGGGGCCTTATGATAACAATTAGGTGTAACGAATGAAAATGGCCACCATGTGAGACATATGTCTCATGTATCCTTCTGTATGACATAATAGAAATGATTGGCTCTCTTTGGATATTCAGCTGCCAAATGAGAGCTGTGAGGACAGGAGGGAGGGAAAGAGAGATGGGGGAAAAGATAGATAAGGGTATCTAGTGAAACTGCTACACTCTTAGAAAAAAAGGTGCTATGTAGAACCTATCAGCTGTCCACATAGGAGAACCCTTTGAAGAACCATTTTTGGTTCCAGGTAGAACCATTTTGGTTCCAGGTAGAATCCTTGTGGGCTCCATGTAGAACCTTTTCCACAGAGGGTTCTACATGGAACCCAAAATGGTTTTTACCTTTAACTAAAAAGGGTTGTACCTAGAAACAAAAGGATTCTCCTATGGAGACAGCCAAATAAGTGTCCACAGCAACTTGACAACTTAGACTGATTCAGTTGATTCAAACCAAATATCTTGGTTTTCCCACCGTCTTTACAAAGTTTGTCTGTGATTTTCATGATTTTTCGCTCTCCAGTCATTGGTTTACATATGTTGAAAAACAAGCTAACATTCCAGCAATGCTCCTCAAACAGTACTTTATTTATACAAACATTATATATTATTACAAGTTTGCAATGTTCACCAACAGGCTATATCCCATTCACCTTCATGGCAAAGTAGGTCTAAAATGGGCATGCATAACGTCTTACCTCGTCAGCCGCCCAAATAGAACTTCAGACTGGGTAAAATAATTGCAGACAGTTCTCTGTTACAACCCCTCCTCTCCTAAAAACACCCTTCAAGTACACACCAGTGAGTTGCTACCTCACAAACCTGACTGTATGTGTAGTCAGTCAGTGTAATGGGACAGCCTTTATCGCCAAGTCCCTGTGTCTCCCGTCTGCTCTGGGACAGCCCCTCTTCCCCTACCCACCCTCGTCCCCCAGGCATCAACAGCAGTTCAGCACACAAGAGGGTCCTGTTCTCTTATTTTTTGTCGTCCAGCCCAGAAACCCAGAAGTTCCTTAGTCAAAGAACCGCTTTTTGAAAATAAATCCCTCCCCTTCCTTCTCCCTGTCTACCAGATGCCCCCAGAACAGAAGCGTGATTGAAGGGAGGAGCCGACACATACACACAGATGCTACACACATCCATCCCTACACACCCCCTGGATGCTCTGACTCTCTCTTCCCCTCCAAAAATAGGTTGATATTTAGTTTACACAATGATGGGTATTGTGTGGCACACTCTCTACCGGACTGGACCCACTGACCCCAGGCTAAAACGAGGCCAGGGGCCCAAGGCAGCTGGACTATAGAGATACTCCATAAGGGTAGGTCTTCTCTTGGGTTTCCCTTTAGACTCCAATATCTAAACAACTGAAGCTGTATTTGGACCTGCAAGTCAACTCCTCTGATGTTGTGATGCACTGGCTGGATGAGGGGCTCCAGCAGCTGAGGGAGAAGAGTTGAAGGAGATGAGCTGCAGCGCAGCTTTGAGTGTTCACTGTTCAGTGCAAGAGCAGATAGCATCATCCTTTATGTGCCATCTGGTCAAATGATTACGGTAGAATAATAACGTTTGTAATATGCCATCCTCTCTCCACTATGAGTCTTTGTGACTCATATTGTTACATGGATTGTGTGTGTATACGTGTGTGTCTGCAGTACAGTACCCCTCCCTCCATTAAAGCCAGTGTGTCACAGATGGAGATCAAGTGTGTGTGTGTGTGTGCATAATTGTGTGTGTTCTCTCTGTATTCCCCTCCCCGTAATAGAAAGTCTAAAGATGCGGATGTGTGTGTGTCTGTGTGTGTGTTTGAATGTGTGTGCGTGTGCGCGTGCGTGTGTGTGCACGTGTTTGTGTGTGTGTGTACACGTGTGTGTGTGTTCTCTGTGCAGCCTCCCTCCCGTCACAGAAGGCCAGTGTGTCTCAAAAGGGTGGGACAGGCAGTGGAGGGAACAGAGACAGCTTGTTCCAGTGGTGAGGTCAGCGTTGCGCCATGACACACTTCCTGTGTAGCCCTCCTCACTGTTTTAACCTCTGGTGGTCAGCCTGCTGTTCAGGGGCCGTATTCATATCTCTCAGGGTAGGACTGCTGATATAAGATCAGGTCCCCTCTTTCCATTGTATTCTTATTCATTTTGATCTAAAATGCAAAACTGATCCTAGATAGGTAATCCTACGCTGAGACTTGGGCTGGTTCTACCTTCTCTCTGCTCCTTTCTCCCTCTAAGTCTGAACCACAACACTGTGCTGCTGGAGCTGGGCCCTATCTATCTACTGATAAATGACATGCTCAGGTCACTGCAGTACACAGCAGCGCCAGTCTATTAGCAGTAACACTGTTATCACTGCCAAAGGAAAGATTGGACAATGTTATGGTGTTACCTATCCACTGTGGTTTCCCTCATGTTATTATTACACAACTTACAGGAACTTTTGACATGGGAATATGATATTGGAGTTGATTGATTGGATGATACGTTAAGCATACATCCACTTCTCCCCTCCTCACAAGCAAGCTAGACACACAACACATGCAAGAAAGCACACACCCACTACCTGGCTTACCATCACCACCTGGTTATTAAAATTGACATTCACACACACCCGCAAACACAGACAGACACACATAAACACACACAGAAACACAAGCACACAAACACCTCTAAGGAGATCACAATTCACTTTCATTGGGAAATTGCTATGACGCAGTAATAAACACAGAACACATTGGAGATGGAGAGACGGGGAGGGAGTGGTGCGCATGGAGTCATATGATCCTTTTGCCACTTTCCTTTTAGGCTTTCTGTATCAGATCTGCAAGAATACTGCACAATGCTATGACATCGGATTATACTGTAATTGGGCAAATTGACTACACTAAGGCTAGGATATTCATCCACAATACTAGTAATCTACTCTAGAAGGAATTTCAATTGAGTATAGTTTGCCAGAGGATGATTATCCTGTGGTAGAGTCTCGAACATCTCATTCAGTCGGACAAATAACCCTGTCCATGTGCTGCTGTGTAACTTCGACTAGTGGGGTATACTGTCAAAGAACAAGCGTGAGCCGCGTAAAGACACGGTAGAGTTTGGAAAGATGACTAATCCACTAATCTAACTTCGCAAGAACATTTACAGAAAAATATAACTGTTTGAAAAAAAATAACAGCACTGGAACATTTGACAAGAGACTATAAACTATTTATATCAGCATGACAACATTTTGAGGGAGATGGCAAGCGCAGCATGCGCAAATTAATGGGATGAATACTGTCAAAGTGGATGCTTGCACAGTTCCCCACACCCCAATGTAACACTTTGATTCCCTCACGAATTTGCATTATTTGATGGACCATAAGTAGTACTATGTAATACTAGTCCTACAATAAAAATACATTTCAATAATAATAATTACTTTTCCATTATTTTCTTACCTTATTCATTTCTTTTTCCTTTAAGTCTATGCCTCGAGGCATAGGTCCGAGTTAGACTTTTTAGTTCAAAAGTTCTCTTACATTCCCAAAAAGTCCTCAAAACATAGTTTGCAACTAAAAATTACCTTGTTTCTTTTAGTCTCCCTCTGCTCTGTCGCTATGGGTGGAGCCATTAAAGGAAAGGCCATTGTGGAATTGTATTACTGGAATTCCCTCTGTGATTGGTCAGCTGTGGGAGGGGAGAGTGAAGATATTTCCCCAGGATTGGTCAGGATTGGGAATTAGAAATGTAATTTCTGGGGGCAAGTCAAAATGGTCCCAACATTGCATGTTAACCAGCATTACATTTTCTAAACTCTCCAGACACAATCCCCCCAAAATGCCCCTCATATGGTTATGTAGCCCTCTCTCTCACCAAAATGCCGCTCATATGGTTATGTTGCTCTCTCTCTCTCTCTCTCTCTCTCTCTCTCTCTCTCTCTCTCTCTCTCTCTCTCTCTCTCTCTCTCTCTCTCTCTCTCTCTCCATGGGAAAAGTATGTTAACATTGCCAAAGCAAGTGAAGTAGATAGTAAACAAAAGTGAAATAAATATTAACAGTAAATATTACACTCACAAAAGTTCCAAAAGAATAAAGACATTTCAAATGTCATATTATGTATATATACAGTGCACACGCATACGCACAAGCACACACACACACTTTTTTGGCATAATAAAGGTGAGAGGGGAGCCTAAAGATCTAATTGGACATTTTACTGTGGAGGGGTTCGGGAGCCAAACTAGTTCCATGTTACCAATAGCTCAAGAGCTACACCACGTGGGGGGAAGAGAGAGGTGCAACAAGTAGTGTGCAAGTGCGTCAGTTCTGTGGCGTAGCACATTTTCACAGAATCCAGAGGTGGTATTGTGAGTTCCAAATCGACTCCAAGCCCCTATTCCACAGCCACATCTGTCGATCTTAGAGGATGGGATAGATGGAAGCATTATGTCGATATTTCTACCCAGCCAACTAGAAGCCAAGATGAAGCTATTAATTGCCATAATTGCTATAATGCACAAGAGAATAGTGATCAATACCAATAATCTGTGACCTTGACATGATCTATAACTATTCATAAATAGGAAAGTATTAGAAACATGACTACGTCTATCTAACCCCTACATAATTTGAGTGTAACTCACAGGAATCCCAGAACAACACATAGGGTAATTCAGTCCAGCCGTTAAAAAAAACACCTAAGCACCATGGAATTTCTGTCTCATATGAAAACGGAGGGACCAGGGACGTTTATTTGTCTGTAGCTTTTTTCTGTTGGAGAGGAGGGGAGGAGATGGGGAGAGAGGGGAGGGGCAGGAAGGCCACGGGAGAGATTAACAAAATACAGGGTTACCTCCTCGAGCTGACAGGATGCTGGGACTTAGAGAGGGGGATGGGGTTGGGGGGTTGGGGGACAGATGAGGGATGGGGTTTAATTACACCTGTTGAATTGGCCCTAGAACACATTTTATTCTCACATCCTCAAATACACATAGACACATGGATGGACAGCAGGTTTATTGTCATGAGTCTGGTCCTGAAGGCAGAACTGAGCGATTTCCCCTTAGATAGACAAGTTGGCTTTATTGTAACATTTTATGAAAACAAAAATAAGCTTTTTGGTCTTAATTTAAAGTTAGGGTTAGGCATTTTGGTTAGCAGCGTGGTTAAGGTTAGGGATAAGGTTAGGTTTAAAATAAGATTTTATGACTACTCTGCAGAGCTGCCTCCAGAGGAAGATTCATGATGAAAAACGCTAACCTGGGGATGGACATGTGTAGTTATTTACAAAGAAAGATATATGGACAGAGACAACTACAATAGAGAGGAAGAGGGAGCAACAGCTTTTGAACCTCAAATAGTGGGGCGGATAAGCCTGTGTAAAGAGCAAATCAGGCAGAACTGCCTCCCACCATTACAACTTTAACTGTGCAGAGATACTGAGAAACTGAGTCCGAGTGAGCCTGGCTGATCCTCATCAGTACTGAACATATAGAATGATACCTCTAAAATAAAATAGGCATCAACTGCTTTTAGCTTAAGTTCACTAAATGCAAAGGATATAACACTTTAGGGAATAGGGGAAATGCATGGAGCAACATGGAGGTAAATGAAAAAGGTTTAGAGAGTGGGAACATTGGCCAAGAGGAAATGGGGTGGGGGAAAAGGGAGTGAAGGGGGAGCTGTATTGCTTGAGGAATGATTGTGTAAGACAGTGCTAAGCCAAAGGTGGATAAGGTACAGCTGTACAGACAGAGAGAGAGAGAGAGAGCAAGAGAGAGAGAGAGCGAGAGAGTACATACTCACGAGAGTAAACTATAAATACATATGCACGAGAGTAAACAAAGCTAGGCTGAGTGGGTCTCTTTGGGGTTGTATGTATCTTGGGAATATTTACTTTCATTTTACATGAGAGTAATAAAATGCTGAATCATATCCCACTTCCTTTATGTGCCCTCCCTACTCTCCTGCCAAATTCCAGCTCATTCCCAAAACATTTCCTACTCTTTCAAAACACTCTTTTGGATAAAATATTATCTTCAGGGGTTCTGTTATTTAAATGGGTGGATCTGGGATTTATTGGGATGGCAGGTTATGGAGAAAGGAAAGGCTTTATATTTCCTTTTCCCATTTCTCTACTTTCATCTCATACTCTGCCCCACACAAACATTCCTCAACAACAGTTTTGGACATATTATTGTTCTAAACCAGAGGAGTCAAGTCTAGTCAAAGATTGACTATAGTTTGACCACAGATAACAGGATGTGAGTGTTTCCATGTGAGTGAGTTTGTGGTTATGTGTGCCAGCAGAACGGTGTGTTTATGTGTATTTGTGTCTATGTCTGAGTGAGAATTATGGATCGTAGAGGCTATTTTTACCATTGATCCGCCAATGCTCTTTCCTGTGTTGGGTGTGTAGAAAATGCCCGTGGAATATGGTTGCTGTAAGGCAGTGCCAGTTTAAAGCGTAGTTGGTCTTTCAGGAATTCAAACAATTTTCTTGTGACCATTGAAGGGATGAGTAATCTGAGCCTGCAGAACCGCTGTGTTACATCTGTAAACCACAGTAACAGGTGGAACAAGAGGGATATCTAGTCATCTATTCTATAAGAGTCACTACAGTGTTGTTGTACTCTATCTTCACATTCAAGAGATGGAGAGCTGCCCAGCTCTGTCTTAGGGTGAGGGGCCAATATCACAATGTTCTCTGGAGATCAAGATAGGCTTTGAAAGAGTGAGTATCATATCAAGATAGATTCAATTGCCAAGCAGAAATAATCCCTCTGGCTTTGATCCCTGTTGTTTATTTGGCTACAGCAAATTGTGTTCTCTTTTACCTGCCAAGTCGTTTAATACTATAAGCCATTAATGGAGCTTCTCTATGATAACAACACAGCCAGCCCACTCATTGGATGTACTGTAGCCAGCAGCATAATAAAGCCGTGACGCATCATGGCTCATAGCACATGACTTGTGAGGCTGAAAAACAATTACCAGTATAACCATCACCTTGCCTTTGGCACCCAATAAAAAGCATTGCCATTCTAGCAAACAGGAAAACAGGCATCGCCAGTAGGACACCGTTGTAAAGTGTATTTATTAAGAAGTCAATGATATATCTTCCATACTTATCTGTTCCTGGAGCATTTTTGACGTTCACAGCTGCAGCCAAACCAGTCAAAATGAAATAAGTTCCTCAGAGGCCACCAATACTGTACATCGGCTCTGTGATAAGTAAATAATAATTTAAATGAATAGCTTGAGAGCATGAGAAGAGAATGATCCATTCTGACAGTAGACTCCAGTTCCCACACCCATACTGACGGGTCAGTTGGATGCAATAGCCTGACGTCATCCAGGGGGCTTAGCATTCCCACACTCCACAGCATGTGCTGTAACCATGGGGACTTACAATAACACTAATGTACCCAAACAGGGTTCCAATTATACACAGACTCTTGGGGGTGCCCGACGTCTCTTGGGGTTGCCCAACATTTCTTTGACAATTTCCATTCTGATGAGGGGGCCATGATTTGTTATGGGGGTAGCCCCTTGTAATTCGAACCCTGCACCCAAACATGGGCACAGACACCAGACACAACTCAAAGTAACAAGCACACTAATATACACAGACTAAACACATGCACACTAATTGATGTATATATATATGCAATTATCATCCAGGTTTTGAAATGTTCCTAAAACACAGCTGTTTTGTATTGGACCAGCTGTGGCCACATGAATACCCCTAGACAAGCCCACCCAGACACTCACCTTGGTCAGCTTCATCTTGCCGCTGTTGGACCTCTCTGGACCTCGACGCTTCAGTGACCCTCTCACCAAGGGCACAGGCTCCGCTTCCTCCCCACAGCAAGGCTCCGCACTCAGGGCGCAACCCATATAGAGATGTGGGCCCTGGCGCTCTCTCTTTCTCCTGTTCTCTCTTTCCCTGTCCCACACTCCCTATCCTCTACCAAGCACTGTTTTCCTGCGTACTCTCAGGCAGCTGTTTTTGTCGGCGGACGCGAGGCCCTTCCCCTTTTCCTGGCTCCCATTCAGCCTCACGCACACTTACCAAGGGCCAGAGGATATACGTTCTCTCCCTCCTCTCTCTCTGTCTCACACAGACACATGCATCCCCCCCTTTCAAATACTCACATATAGACATACAGTACATATATGGTCTCTCTCCTTCGGTCCCTCTCTCCCAGGCACAAATTGTTACCCTCTCCCTCTCTCCCTCTGACTAACTCTCTTCTCTCATACGCATATACAATACCTCTCTGTTTCTCCCTCCCGCTCTCGCTCTGAAGCAGTCTCTGTTTCCTGCTCACACATACACAGTCATCTTGCCAGACATTGCATGTATTGTCTAGAAATGGGTTCATAAAGCAACAAAACCACAACAGTCGCAGTTTGGATGCTCTAAAAGAGACAGCCCTCTTAGTGTGGAACCAGTCTCCTCTCCCTAGGCTACTTACAAACTTGGAACATGCAACATCAGTTCCAAATACTGCCAGCAGAATTGAAGTGGTCAGAAGTGCTGCTATGGACATCCCTCTACTCTAAACATCCATCATTTTGTCTCCACCTTAGAGAGTAGACAAAGTTAACTTACTTATACCCGCTCTCACACTTTGCTACTGCTCCCAAAAGAGGCCCCTTAGTATGGCAAATACTAGAGTGAGAATAACATTATTATTCTTGCTTTGTTTCTCCTCTGTCTTTTCAGTGTTCTTTGTTTATCCTGTTCAGTGTGTTTTGGCTGCTGCATGTGAACTCGCAGGGCTTGGAGACCGTACCCCTTAAAAGGCAAATTCTTGATGTGCCTCCAAACCCCCTCTCTCACTCCCTTGCTCCATCCCCCTTTTCCTCTCTCGCTCTCTTTCCCCTCCTACCTCGGCAGACTGAAAAAAGCAGTCGGCCAGGCTACGTCTCGTTGTTGTAAACGTGTTGCTCCCTCCAGACGGCCCTTGCAGGTATTCATCCCCACCTCCCCACCTCCCTTTCCCTAACCCCCTCTTCCCACCCCTCCAGTTGTGTCCGTTTCCAGATCCCAGTTTGTGTGTTTACAACTGAACCCCTCCTGCTTTAACCACAGTACAATTAACTCCTTTTAATCAACTTCCATCCCTTAGATCCTGTGTGGAGCAGACTGATCACAGGGAGAGGATTTGGATGAAGCTGGGTCTGTAGCTGGGCTTCCAGACAGTACTGGTTATCAAAGCATACCAGATACAGTGACACATATAACCATACTGAAAAAACACTCACCATCTCTAAAATGGAGCCCCTTTTGGCATGGAGCATGAAGTCTCATTAGCAGCTACTGTATGTACAGTACAGTCAGGGAGCCTTACTATCTGCCTCCTGTGCCTCTGTTTGAGACTGAAGCAGTTCCTATACATTGAAAAATATGACAGCGTAAGGACAGACAAATCAGAGACCAAATATGGGATGAGAGAATCCCTGAGAGAGGAAGTGCGAGGAGAGCGAGAAAGATAGTCACGACCGAAATTATTGGCACCCTTGATAAAGAGGAGCAAAAAAGACTGTATAAGATACATAATACAAATACTGAGCTATAGTATATTGTATACAAAAAAAAGGGGGAAATTCTATTATTTTATACTAATACAATTAAGCTATTTTTTTGTTTTGTTACAGGTAATAATAAACAATGTAAAAAAGATAGGTGTCAAAATTATTGGCACCCCTATTTTTTATACTTTCCTTGATATCTTTCAGTCTGCGCTTATGGACTGCCCTCTTCAATTCAAACCATAGATTTTCAATGGGGTTCAAGTCTGGAGATTGAGACAGCCATTGCAAAATTTGCACAATAAATTCATGTCTATTTCTATGCTCCTCAAATTTTGCAAATCAACTGATCACAGATCTCTGTGATAAAGATTTTTTTCACTACAATGTACATATATAATATATTAATAAAAACACTGTATTTTACACTGGTTGTCTTTATGCATTGTTTGAGCGATGTAAATTAATGAGCCACATTCTCAAAGCTAGAAAAGCTATTATTTTTCAAATGATTATCAGTGTTAAGGGGCCCCCTTCTTTAGCCTACCAGTCTTTGGTGTCTTTCTATGCCCAAACATACATTTTAGCATGAACTCAAATAGAACAGTTGTCTGCATATCGTAAACCTCAATTTTTTGCCGTTTGACCAAGGACAGATTTGCGCCACGGGTGTGGGCATAATCCATAAACAGGAAAGAACAAAACATTGGCCATATCACAGACCACAAGACAAAAAGGCAAAGTAACAAGCTAACCAGAACCAAAATGAAGTGCTGTAGGGCCTTACCAACATCTTCCCGTTAGAAAGGTTGCTCCTGGTAAAATGCTAAGTGAACGCGGGCTATATTTAAAGGGATAGCTCACCCAAATTACAAAATGACAATACAAAATGCACATCCAAATCATCCTAAAGTATCTAAAAACGGATTGTGTAACTCATTGACGTTAAATATACAGTACATGATTTGGAAATGAAGTGCAAAAATGCTAATATACTGAAGGTACCATTGACTTGTATTGGATTTGTGCCACAAATGAATGAACACAACCGATGCATGGATTGCGGTCATACCTTGTCCATTGACTGCTTACCGGGTAAGGAAAGCAATATGTCATTTGGGAAACTACCCTTTAGTGTCTAGAAGCCAGTAAGTAAAGGCACAAATATCAATCAATCCTCAAATGTTAGGATTGGGATTGTCGTCAGTAGGTAACTTCGGAAATGTAATATTTGACCCAATACAAAGGTAGTGGCAAAAGGTTGTAGCTATGGAAAACACAGGAGGAAATAGGAACAGAACAAGCGCTGTGATGGAAATGTGCCAAATAGGAACCATCTTCATGATATTGAGTACAAAACATCACTATTAAGAGTAAAACATTTTTTTGTAAAAACAAAATACAATGCATGAGAATGACAAATAACAGGTGGTTATAGAGGTGGGAAATAGAATAGTTTCACATTCAAAAGTGACCAATAAAAGTTGCTTTTGGGAAGAAAGTTCAACTGTGACTCCTCAAAGCTGTGGTGAGGTTATTACCAGGTACATTTCCTTCAATTCAACCTTGAATTCAGATCTGAGGCTGTGCTCCACACATTTCCCATTACTGACCCCTCTTAACCTTGACTGAACACAGCCAGGGGCTTTGTCTCTCCCTCCCAGGACAGGACATCTAGACTTCCCCTGGGAGCGGAGGGGCCTGCATCTGTATCCAGGAATAGACCATATGGGAGACAAGCAGGAAAAGATGCTGGGAAAATGTCAAGAGTTTAACAGTGACTCGGAGCACATGCAGCTGGTCCGGCTACAGTATACTCCTCAGAAACACTGGGTTCTGTTCCCTGCGCTCTCTCTCGCTCCCCCCCCCCTCCTCAAAATTACACAGAAATGCCTGTTTACTATCAGCGTTCCGAAGCAGAGAAACCAAAACAAATGCTGTGGGGGGCTCCGCCTCTGCTTAATGAGCCCTGTCACACAAGGTTAGAGGTCACAACCTGGGCCAAAACCCAGCTGAGGTTCACAGGGGTCAGGGGAGTAGAGAAAGTGGTGGTGAGGATAGACAGGATATTACGAGATCAATATTCAAATATCGGATTTTCATCTGTTTGAAGTGAGTAAGAGAACCTAAAATGTGACAAAAAGCCACCTATAAACTGTCATCTGGGATAATATTGGTTTAAGATGGAAAGTGAGGGTTAGATTCAACAATCAAAACTGCATAATTTAGCAGTGGCGTAACATTACCCTTGGAGTATAACTATATAAAACATTCCTTACATCCCTTTTGGTCAAGCTCTCCCACTCTTTAAAAGCTCCCCATAATGAGTCGATTAAGGGCAACTTCACATTCCCATGGCTTAAAGAACCGTAAGAGTCTGGTTCTAGAGTCATGCATGTAACATAGATAGAGAAACAGAAACATCCAGACACATTTAATGAGATCTCCTTCAGTTACATGTGATAGTGGGGTTACATACATACAACAATGCTGAAACATCCTCTGCATTAAATGCCAGTCGACACCTGACCCATGGATAAGAGTAAGTGAAGAGCATGCCTCCAATACATTTATCACACAGCTCATATGATTTTCCATGACATGGTTGCCTAGGCATTGACCTCCAGGCAGGTCCGGATGAGACAAGGAAGGAAGCGGTTCCTTTCTGTGAAAGAAGCAGGAAGCCATTGACGGTGTATTGGGAAAGATCCTGGAAAGAAGCAGCTAATGACTGCTATACATGATGATCAGAGGAACACAAACATTGCTTCCCTCATAGTAAAAAAAAGTTAATGCATGTCAGCAAAGCCCCCTAAAATAAGGTGACTTTATTGTCTGTTTTCTTTTATTAAAACTCCTGTGTCCCTCTCGGACACAGGTGCTCCAGCATTAGCATAACCAGGCTGACAGAGCTCAGACAGCCTACATAGCCCAGCATTTAGACTGGTGGTGGGTGGCGACGACACCCTACATAGCCCAGCATTTAGACTGGTGGTGGGTGGCGACGACACCCTACATAGCCCAGCATTTAGACTGGTGGTGGGTGGCGACAACACCCTACATAGCCCAGCATTTAGACTGGTGGTGGGTGGCGACGACACCCGTAGCAATACATGTTTTCTCAACCCCACCTTTCAAAATTGTTATAATGATTAAAACTTCAACGTCCAGTCTCTTTTACTTAAAACCAGTCATTATTTCTCTATGTTTAGGTACAGTCCTGAAGGTGCAGCCAGTCAGCAGTGGAGTGGGTTTCTATTGAAGCAGGTTAGCAGGAAGGGAGCTGTACTGCTGCTCCAGCCAGGTTGTTGTGCAGAGCAGAGATCTCACTCTTTTGGCATCATACATCTTCACTTCTT